CGCTATGAACACGAATTTTGTATAATAAAATTTTGATAGGTTTTCACTATAATTTTAGGTTATTTTACTTTTTTTGTATACTACTGTGGTGGGAAACAAGCATACGGCCCATCTGATGGTAAACGGTTACCGTAGCCTATGGACGCCTGAAACACCAGGGGTGTCACGTGCGCGTTGCCGACCCTTAAGAAACCTTAATATACCTACCCTTCTTGAAAAAAAATTTTACGTTACTAACATGCTACTAATTTTTTTTCTCATTCCTTCACTTTCCAGGCTATTCTTTGGAACTCTTTGCCACTTTCTATTGGATCTGCTCAATCCCATGGCATTTTCAAAAATCTTGTAAAATCCCACTATCTCTCCAATTAAAAATCTTTCGGTAATATTCTGTTTTGATACATGTATTTATTTATATATTTTATTTATGTATACATAATATTAAATAAATAATAATCTCAGGACAATTCACACAGCGCCATCTAGACACAAGTTAAGCCAGCTAAACCTTGTGTTATGGGTACTAGACAACTGATACAAATACATACTTTTTTTGTAAATACATACATATTATATATACAAAATACCTAGACCGATACAAACAATCATATTCGTGAATACAAACGTTTGTGCCGTGCGAGGAATCGAACCCGCGACCATCGATAACCGGTGTGCCTTTAGTATTTGTATGTATATGTATTTAGTAATCATATAATATTTAACTCTCTTTTTATAGTGTGCCACTTACCTTTCCCTTACCTAATACTTTTATCTCCCTGGTTGTCTGTGTGAGATTGCCTTAAGAGGGTTATTACAAAATGATGTCGCTCAACTTTAGGTTTAAGCACATGGATTTCCGCATGTGTGTATAATACACGCACACAGACGCAAATAAACGTGTAGCGCAATCAGTGTGGATTCAGTATGAGCCATTTTGATCCTTGTAATATTTTAATTAATAATATGATATGGTTTTACTTAACTGAGTAACATTTTTTTGCCGCCTTTTGTTTGCGTATTTTTATATTGTTCCATTTCGTAATTGTTTGTTACTTTATACACAACTAGCTGTTCTTCGCGAATTTAACTTTCATTTGCTATAATAAAAGATTTTTTCTAAACCAAAAGTAGCCTAAGTTACTCCTTATTAGATCAGCTACCTACCAATACAAGTCCCGTCAAAATCGGTCCACCCATTTCAGAGATTAGCCGGAACAAACAGACCGACAGATAAAAATGGTAAATAATGTTATTTTGGTGTATATACCGTACTTATATTCATATGCACACAGTTATTTCAATATTACAAACAGACTCACTACACTACTCAGATTTTATTTATATGTATAGATTACTACCTGCTACATTACTATTCTGCGTAAACCTGAAAACCACATTGTGAGAAAGTGCCATTCCATGGCTACAACAAAAAGAGGACGAGGCAGGATACCAACTACCTGGTTGACAAATGTACATATGGACAGGGAGGAGTTGGGCCTGTCAAATGACGATGCTTACCAGCGAAATGTATGGCGCCCCAGGATTAGAAAAGCCGACCCCGAGTAACGGGAAGAGGCGAGGATGAAGAAGAAGTATCTAGACACGCGGTAGCGTGTCAAGCCGAATTTCAAGTAACAGGCTAGCAGCACCGTGTGTATATTTACACGAACCATTTACGACCTTAGGCTACAGTATATTATCCTAAGTTATAAGAAGAAATGATATTATATATTGTTATAAACACATTTCAGGACAGACCATTGAACTTGGCACCCATTTAGATCTCATCTCTTTTGTCGTAGAAGTCAACAATCAAGGCATATATCATAATATTAAACTCGGCTATCATTTCACATTTATGTTTTTTTTTGATGGGTAGATTACTACCGATCCCACAGATAATGCATTTTCTTACACAAGAACCTCATACCTCTTTAATGTGTAAGTCACGATATAAATAGTTTATTGCCTGCAAATGTTTTAGTCTCCTGTCGCCATCTTTCATTCCAAATGCAATTTCGTTAGTTTATATTCAAAACGTTGCTTGAAAACGTGTTCAAATTTTTGAACAACTTATTTATATTGTACCCATGTTTCGGCCGCTGTCAGAAAGTGAATTTTAGTTGAATTATTATTATTTGTAAGTATATTTATTGCTTGCTACTACGATGGTGGTCAAGCATACGGCCCGTCTGTTGGTAAATGTTAGCGTAATCTATTGACACCTGGAAACACCAGAAGTGGCACGTGATATACCCTTAATATACCCCCTTTCATGCAAAAACTACTGAACGGATTTTGATGAAACTTTACAGTAATATAGCTTATATATCAGAATAACACAGACTAATACATATAAATAAAATTGGAGTGTCTGTATGAAATAACCGTTTTTTACTACATACATATGAATATAAATACACCAAAATAACATTTTTTACAATTTATGTCTGTCTGTCTGTTTGTTCCGTCTAATCTCTGAAATGGCTGGATTGATTTAGACGGAATTTTTATTGGCAGGTAGCTGATGTAATAAGAAGGAACTTAGACCATTTATATTTTAGAGAAAAAAAGTTAAATTCCACGCGGGCAAAATCGCGGGTATAGCTAGTAGACTATAAATTTTATGCGAGTGAAACCGCGACCACAGATAGTAAACCATAGTACAATATATTTTTTAATATATTATATGATAATGGAATAGTTCACCCGCCTGCGCTAACGGTTTACGCTGGCGGGGCACCAGTGGAGGATGATAAGATGAAAACAATAATTGCTTTAGCAATATCATATGCTGGTGGTCACTCTATTCTCCCAAATTTGAATTTAAAAATGAATCTGTATTATTGTAAACATGTACAACATTTATTTGAAAAGATTACGAGCTGAGTTTCTCGTCAGTTCTTCTCATCTCGAAATCATTTCTTACTGACCGTAGATTTGACATATCGTAAGAGTCTGTAATAGACCTACATGAATAAAGATATTTTGAATTTATAAATAAAGACAGGTTAGTTAACCTATCTTGGCAAATGACAATTTATCACGATGGTTTCCAGGATGAACCGCGTGGAGGTCAACCTGACATGGTACATTGCAAGTGGTCATCAGTCCACATTACTAACAATTCCCACCTACATTGCAATATAAGAGGTTGCGTTAAGATTCTCTACTCTACTTTCTTTGGTTGCATTGTATAACTATTGCGACCCTACAATTAATGCAATAGTATTGTTAAAAATTCAAAGCGCATCCATTGTAGTTATAACTGAGTTTTGCGACACGTTACGTTAGTTAACTAACAATTATGGCCTACGGCTTTTACCACCGCACCGCTCTCCATCGACTGGGAATTCATCACACGCTGGAACCTAAGTGGTCTCGGACAGTGGGGTTTCAGAGGAGCTTCCTCCCGCGTACACTTACATTGTGGAATGAACTACCTGCCGAGGTTGTCTCACGAGACTACAGCATTGTTTATAGTCTAAATAAATGTCAAACATAACCATTGCAAATTCATTTATTTGCCATCGACAAGGAATTCTTCACACCCTAGAACCATGGTCTCGGACTGTGCGGTTTCAGAGGAGCTTCCTCCCGCGACACTTACATTATGGATTGAATTTTTTTTAATGGCTAATAGTGGAATGGGGCACCCGCCTGTGCTAACGGTTTACGTGGGCAGGGCACTAGTGGAGGATGATAAGATGAGCATAAGCTCAGGTCAGTTAGCACATCGTGGCAAATTCACCAGGAATTTGACATAGTAGTTTCCACGGGAAACCGCGTGAGGTCAACCTAGCATGGTACATTGCTCATTCATAATTTAAGAGCGTCGCTCTTGTCGATGATGGTCTTATCACTTGTGTGTTCTGAGGAATTGTTCGGATAAATTCCTCAGAACACTCCCCGTGATATATGCGGTAGAAAATGCACAGAGATGCAATATCTCGCCGCATAGCCAATGGGTCGAGTCTATAAAATTCTCTATTTTTTTCCGCTATATAAAAGAAAACAGTAAATAAATTTCCTAGCGCTGATTATCGAATTCTTGATGTATGATAGCGTAGCGGCTTTTGTATCGATTGCCGCATGCATACTCATGTATATAAATTTAAGTAGCTATGCCGTGGTCGAGTGGAATGAGTAGTCATGCTCACTAAAATGTCCAGACATGTGGCGGCGTGGTGGGCCGCGTCATTGGACTCCCTAAAATATGGTCGAGCGCAGTGATGGCTGGCTCATCCGTCATGGTTGTGAACGAGTGCTGCTTTTAGGGACTGGTCTGCTCTTATCACTACGACTAATTTAATCTTATTGTATATCTATATTTGAGCCTAAATAAATTAGTGCTGGTTGATAGTTTGTATTCACACGTTTCGACTTGTGAAGATAAACTTACAAGGATTGTTTAAAAGAGCAACACACAAGTTTCATGCTTATTCTTCATGTGATGAGATAACGTTTCGAATAAGCGGTAGATTAAAAAAAATTGTTGACTATTCAAAAGTGTTTAAATTAAGTTTATTTGAATAAATGATTTTGATGATATAGATAAATCCTGAACGTCCATCATTATTGTAAATGCACGCGCATGCCCAGCATCGCGTCGTGACAAATAGTCCGTTCAAGATTTATAACTTTCACCGCTAGGAGTGCCTCAATTATAAAATAGCTATCTCAAACGCAACATAGTCTCACGATACCCAACTGGGTCCACGTAATCCTGTATTATTACATTAGTTTTATTTACCAACTGTTAAATACACAATATATTGGGTACTACTAACGACCCGCCCCGGCTTCGCCTGGGTGTACATGTATTATATATATAAACCTTCCTCTTGAATCACTCTATCTATTAAATAAACCGCTTTAAAATCCGTTGCGTAGTTTTAAAGATTTAAACATATGTAGGGACAGACAGCGACAGTGACTTTTATACTATGTAATGATGTGTCATATGCCTGCATTAACAGTATGTTTGTTGGTTGTTACAGGGGTCGGACCCACGGGTGGCCACGTGTCGGGGGCGGCTCCAGACCCGCCGCTGTCAGCTCAACCAGGAGATCAACAAGGAGCTGCGGCTGCGTGCTGGAGCTGAGAACCTGTTTAAGGTAAACATTAAATACTAGCTGCCCGCGACTTCGTCCACGTGGAATTTAACTTTATTTTTAAAAACATTTATTGATTTGAACATATGTTTGCATACATACATACATACGTAGAACAATTACAAAAAAACCTCTATAATCTAAATATATATAACTCAAAGGTGACTAACATAGTGATCTATCAACGCACAGCCCAAACCACTGGACGGATCGGGATGAAATTTGGCATGCAGGTAGATGTTATGACGTAGGCATCCGCTAACAAAGGATTTTGATTAATTCTACCCCCAAGGGGATAAAATAGGGGATGAAACTTTGTCAATTTTAAACCGATCGGGCTGAGACTTTGCATGCTTAAAGCTACTATGACGTACGCTGCTATGACTAAATAAAGCAAATAATTACTTATATTTTTTTTTTACCCAGATTTTTTTCAACCTATTCGGCCGAATAGTAGTTATCCGGTATTTGGCCGGATAGTATTAAGGCCGCCGTATAGGCCGGATACCGGATAGTTACCGGATATCCGTTTCATCTCTAGTTTCTACGTAATATTAACTACAATATTAAAGGCACTACACCCGCATCTCATCATTGTGTACTGACCACAACAATTTGCGGTTATGTACGTACAAGTTCATCTGCAGAAATATACCATATTGCATCTCCTGCGGTGTCTATATTCAAAGCTAACTGTCCGCCCGGTTTCGGGTGTAATAAAATACAATAGTATCAAATAGAATAGCAATAGAAATAATCTTTATTCAAAATAACTTTATATGATACTAGCTTTTGCCCGCGGCTTCGCTCGCGTTAATTTATGCCCTTAGGGGTGGAATTTATCAAAATCCTTTCTTAGGGGATGCCTACGTCATAGTAGCTTTATACATGCAAAGTCTCAGCCCGATCGGTTTAAAATTGACAAAGTTTCATACAAACTTTCATCCCCTATTTTATCCCCTTAGGGGTAGAATTAATCAAAATCCTTTCATAGCGGATGCCTACGTCATAACATCTACCTGCATTCCAAATTTCAGCCCGATCCGTCCAGTGGTTTAGGCTATCCGTTGATAGATCACTATGTCAGTCACCTTTGAGTTATATATATTTAGATAGATATGTTTCGAAATTTGTTAGCTTGTCTTGGATGTCCCGCAGGATTTATTCCGGTTTCTTATAAATGTTTTACCATTTAGTTTTCTTTTAAGTTGTTCATTTTCTTAATCGATCGAAGTTCTTGGTAAGAATGGTTTTTATTCAGACATATTAGGACTAAAAATTTAAAGTAGGTAAGTAGATTTAAAGCAATTCGCAGATATCTTGCTATTAATTCCTGGCTGAAACCGAATGAATGGTTGCAAGTATCTTGCACATTCTTCTCAAAAAAAAGACTATTCTAAAATAGTTATATCAGGTTTATTTAAAAAGAAGATTACAATTCTAAACTTTATTCTCTTGAACTCTGAATAAGCGCGTTAGAGTAATCAATCTTTTTTATTCTACCACACATTCGGAACGCAGACTCATCAAAAGAAGAATGTGCAAGAAACTTGTGTGTTTCTCTTTTAAATAAATGTTATTCATTATTATATATTTAATATTATATGTGAATAAAAACTTCCTTCCGAACGATCCCCCAATTCAACGAGGATCGAAATTACGACAGTCTACATCGAACTTCGTACTAGCGGAGCCTACAGACAAAAGTCGTATCCGTCAGGCGGGCGTTGTCCAAGATTTTGTGTGAATAAAAATTTCCTTCCGTTCGATCCCCCAATTCAACGAGGATCGAATTTACGACAGTCTAGATCGAACTTCGATCTAGCGCTGCCCTCAGACCTTGTCCTTCATCCGCTTCATAAGCCCTTTCGTTTGGAGTGTCATCTGCACTCGCCCCCTATCGTCCGGTGAAGCTGTAAAGGCCAGCTGCAGCCGACAGTATTAGAGTAGTCCGAAAAATAGGTAATTTTATGGCATCACGAAAAAGATAAAAATTATAAATGTATTTATGCTCTTAGTCACTGAAGGCTCAGAGGCAAGTGCTACGTCCAATACCTCAAGGTTATAAGTTCAAAAACCGAGGGGTGTCACGGTTCGGCGCGCACGCGTCTTTTCCACCAAAAGAACCAAATGTCAACGCACTGACAGAATGTAGTATTGTTCAGTATTGTATACAATATTCCTTAGTTAAATTGTTCACACATATCAACTTAAAACTATACAGTTACAACGTTTATTTATAGAACATCACGCAACGCAGATAGGGTTGGCAGATCGACTAAACCTAAATCTGCTAGACAGACTATCCATCTAAGTAATGAATTAGTTAAAGAAAGTCATTGTTAAACATAAATTTTAGATAAATACTAGCTGTGCCAGGTAACGTTGTTTTGCCTTAAAATAAAAAAAATTTGGGGTGGACTACCCCTAACCTTTAGGGGGATTAAAAATAGATGTTGGCCGATTCTCAGACCTACTCAATACGCTCACAAAATTTCATGAGAATCGGTCAATCCGTTTCGGAGAAGTATGGGAACGAAAACTGTGACACGAGAATTTTATATATAAGATTTTAACAACATTTATAAATTCTGAATGATAACTGCACAAATAAGTCTTATTTGCCTGTTATTACTTCAAAAAGCACAACAACAATCTAAATAAAAGGAAACTCCTTCTCTTTAAGTCAAACAATAAAAATGATTAGTTGTTTTACAATAAAAATAACGTAAATAACCTAAAAAAGCCGACAAGCCAGACACCGTTTATTTTGGCCGGACACAATTAAAATAGTAATTCAATTGAGTTTCTTGCCAGTTCTTCTCAATTGGATCTATATACTGAACTGGACGGTAGGGAAAAAATTATAATGTAAAAAATTTGACGTTCATAAGCGGCTGAAATGTTCTAAGTGAATAAATGATTTTTTAATGTTAGTCATCTTTTATTTTTCCCGCGCAAACGTAATGCGTCACAGATACACAATATCGCACGGCGCACAGACCCAGAAAGATGATGAGCGTGTCATAGCTGTATAGAGACGTTAGTACTAGTTCAAATTCAAAATATCTTCATTCATGTAGGTCTATTACAGACTCTACCGTCAGTTCGGAGTGATTTCGAGATGAGAAGAACTGACAAGAAACTCAGCTCATATTCTTTTCAAATAAATGTTGTACATGTGTACAATAATACAGATTCATTTAAATTCAAATTTGGGAGAATAGAGTGACCACCAACATATGATATTGTAAAAACTAAAACTCTCAACAGTGTTCGTAACCTGAGCAGACCAGTCCCCACAAGCAGCACCTGTTCACGAGTATGAGTCAGCCATCATTGCACTCAACCATATTAGGGCCCGTCCATTAATCACATGATCTTTTTTAAACATTTTTTTAACCCCTCCTCCCCCTTGGGGGGGTAGTTTTACCTAGTGGTAGATAAAAAACAAATTGTTATGACTATTCAAAAGTGCTTAAATTAAGTTTATTTGAATAAATGATTTTCTATTCTATTCTATTCTAGATTGTAGTAGTGATTTTTGTCAACGGGGGGAGGGGCCGTTTTCAAGCCTCAAGTGATTAATGGATGGCCCCCTAGAGGGAGCACATTGACCCGGCCCACCACGCCGCTACATGTTTGAATTTTATAGCGAGCATGACTGTTTCAAGTTACTCCACTACTAGTATGGATAATGACAAATGATTGATCAATGCATTTATTTCGCAGGCGACAACGAACAGAAAGCTGCGCGAGACCGTCGCGCTGGAGTTGAGCTTTGTCAACTCGAATCTGCAGCTCCTGAAGGAGCAGCTGGCAGAGCTGAACTCCTCGGTGGAACTGTACCAGAATGACAGGTATACCATCTTCACAATATGTCTTTTAAAATGGAGTTATTTATGTTCCAATTTGTCCTCGTCTATCTTTCCCTCAGATTCAAAAATCATTTATTCATGTAGGACATTTGACATGTTCACATTTTTCCCTACGTTAGATCCAATGGAGAAGAACTGGCAAGAAACTCAATTTAATTACTTATATTTTTTTTAAAAGCCAGTTTATTTACAATGTATATTTATATAGGTGTCTATGTCTAACATTAAATGAAAATCCCGTGTATGAACAACTATTGCCATGCACGCTCGTCATTCAAGTAATCGTTTAGTGAGTAATAGGCTTTGCTCAGTAAATATTATTTAACAGATGTTTTGAATTTATTTAAGTGTATTTCCAGTATATCTTTTGGCATCTTATTGTAAGTTTTTATACCTATTCCCATACAAGACCTATTGACTTTTTCTAAGCGATACTTGGAGACAGCAAGTTTGTCTTTAAATCTAGTATTAATATTATATTGTGGTAGATAAAAAACAAATTGTTATGACTATTCAAAGGTGCTTAAATTAAGTTTATTTAAATAAATGATTTTCTATTCTATTCTATTCTGTTCTATCATCTATACATATAAATAAAATTGGAGTGTCTGTTTGTAATATTGAAATAACCGTTTTTACTAAATGCATATGAATATAAATACGGTACATACAACAAAATAACATTTTTTACAATTTTGTCTGTCTGTCTGTGTGTTTGTTCCGTCTAATCTCTGAAATGGCTTGAAGGGACTTTTATTGGTAGGTAGCTGATGTAACAACCAGTAACTTAGGCTACTTTTATTTTAGAAAAATAAATTAAAAACGCGGACGAATTCGCGGGTGCAACTGGTCGAATAATAGAAATACAACCTTAAGGTAATTAAAAAAACACTCAATTCGAGTTGTCGATTGTCGAAGTCGATCAATCGATCCGATATTTCGACACTGTTTATTGATACTTTCACATTCTCGCAACACTTGTTTTACTTAATTACATATACCTTTTGTAGAGCAAGTAAAAGTAGATGGCGCACGTTATGTAACATGGCAACACCGATTTATATGATCAATTTGCGAAATAGCGGACACCTGTTAATTATACATATTTTTTACTATCTGACCCCGGCTTCGTCCGCTTGGAATTTAACTTTATTTTTCTAAAATAACAGTAGTCTAAGTTACTTCTTATTACATCAGCTACCTGCCAATAAAAGTCCCGTCAAAATCGGTCCAGCCATTTCAGAAATTAGCCGGAACAAACAGACAGGCAGACTTAAATTGTAAAAAAATTATGTGTATGTACCAGCGACTTAATAAACAAAAAATAAGCAATAATCAACCCAAATAATTTAAAAGAAAAAAGTTACATCTTTCTAGCTTCAAAAATGACAAATTTCTATCTCATTAATTAATATTATAAACGCGAAAGTTTGTGATTATGGATTGATGTTTGTTACTCTTTCACGCAAAAACTACTGAACGGATTTTGATGAAACTTTACAGTAATATAGCTTATACATCAGAATAACACATGATTACATAGTGTAAAACAAAGTCGCTATCGCTGTCTATCCGTCCCTATGTATGCTTAAATCTTTAAAACTACGCAACGGATTTTGAAGCGGTTAGATAGAGTGATTCAAGAGGAAGGTTTATATATATAATACATGTACACTCGGTCGAAGCCGGGACGAGTACCTAGTAAATAATGAAATATGTCAAATAAGTGTACTTGCAAACGAAATGCGCGGGTCAGATAGTACACAATAGTTATAGCATAACACCGTCCTCAGACGACGTGAAGCGTAACTGGCAATCTTGCAAATGTACATATTTTGTACCGTTACTTTACCCCCGATACTGTATGACAACTGGTTCGTAACGAAATCAACTGCGAAATCGTCATTTCATATACATCGAATAGTTTATCGATATGTACTGATAAACAAACAAACTACATAGTATTAAACTTATTTGAAAAGAATACGAGCTAAGTTTCTTGTCAGTTCTCATCTTGAAATCATTCCGAACTGACGATAGATTTGACATATCATAAGAGTCTGTAATAGACTTACATTTTAGAATCTTATTTGAAATTAATACGAGCTGAGTTTCTTGTCAGTTCTTAGCTTGAAATCATTCCGAACTGACGATAGATTTGACATATCATAAGAGTCTGTAATAGACCTACATATTAACAATCTTATTTGAAAAGATTAAGAGCTGAGTTTCTTTTCAGTTCTTCATATCTCGAAATCACTCTGAACTGTCGATAGATTTGACATATCATAAGAGTCTGTAATAGACTTACATTTTAGAATCTTATTTGAAAAGAGTAAGAGCTGAGTTTCTTGTCAGTTCTTAACTCGAAAGCACTCCGAACTGACGGTAAATAATAGATAATTATATTTATTTATTTTTATTTTAAATTTTAATATCTTTCATATGTATGTTAGTCTGTAAGGTATTTATAATATGGGCCATTAGTAGCCTGAATTAAATAAAGTTTAAAAATATTGCAGAATTGCGCTCATGCGAATAAGTTAAAAATAGGTCACAAATATATGGGCAAAATTTAATTAGTTATTGTAGACCATTCATGTTATTGACGACCTCGGTGGTCTAGCACACCGCTTTACGACTGATGGTCGCGGGTTCGATTCCTCGCACGGCACAAACATTTGTATTCATAAGTATGATTGTTTGTATCGGTCTGGGTTTTATATGTATAATATGTATGCATTTACAAAAAAAAAACTATGTATATGTATCAGTTATCTAGTACCCATAACACAAGCGATAGCTAGCTTAGCTTAGGTCTAGATGGCGCTGTGTGAATTGTCCTGAAATTATTATTATTTTCATAGTAGCACATTTTGAAAAAAAGAAAGCAAGAAAGTCTATGGTACAACCCACGACATCTTTATCTATAAAATCCAAAGACAAAACATGTCGTCGAAACTTTCTTCATTATTGCGTCTTATAATATAATACCAACTGTAACTGAGAAATAGCGATACATTTAATGAATCCGTTCTCATGGCCAATTATAAATTAAGAAAGAGCGTAATGTTATATTTCCGCCATTGTTTCGTTTTCCCGCGGTCCGGCCGCCATGTTAACCATAGAGCGTGGCAGCCATTTATAAACGTGCTGCGAAAAAAATGGAATTGTAGATCTGTGCAAAAACTATATGATTTTTCTTTACTAGACTCAGAGATTTTTTTTTTTGCATTTGGACGTAAAGTTTTTGTATATATTAATACTAGTGCCCTGGCCCTGAAGCTACCCAACCTTTGTAATATTGAAATAACCGTTTTTTACTACATGCATATGAATATAAATACGGTACATACACTAAAATAACATTATTCTACAATTTTTGTCTGACTGTGTGTCGGGTAATCTCTGAAATGGCTGGATTTTGACGGGACTTTTGCAGGTACCTGATGTAATAAAGAGTAACTTAGGCTACTTTTATTTTAGAAAAATAAAGTTAAATTCCACGCGGACGAAGTCGCGGGTACAGCTAGTTATAAATATGTGGAACTTGTTTGCAAAAACTATAACAAATTACCTCCACTTAAGTACGCTGTTATGTCATTATGAACCTTATGTCTAATGGTTATAAAGTTGATTATCATATTTCTTTACTTTTGAAAGAAGATGCCGCCACTATTATGCTGTCATTTAAGACGCGGTCATAGCATATGCTGTGGAAACGGTTTTGTTATTTAGGTTCCGTATCTATAAAAAACAATGATATATATCGAAGTCAGGACTATGGACTCTAGGACTTTTTTTTTTTTACGGATGGTAGTGGAATGGAGACCCCGCCTGCGCTAACGGTTTACGCTGGCGGGGCACCAGTGGAGGATGATAAGATGATCATGAGGTCAGGTCAGTTAGCCCATCTTGACAAATTCACCAAGAATTTATCACGATGGTTTCCAGGGGGAACCGCGTGGAGGTCAACCTGACGTAGTACATTGTTAGCAATAAGATCATCAGTCCACATTACTAACAATCCCCTTCCCCCTTAGGACTTTTTTTTTTATGGATGATAATGGAATGGCTCACACGCCTGCGCTAACGGTTTACGCTGGCGGGACACCAGTGGAGGATGATAAGATGAGCATGAGGTCAGGTCAGTTAGCCCATCGTGACAAATTCACCAAGAATTTATCACGATGGTTTCCAGGGGGAACCGCGTGGAGGTCAACCTGACATGGTACATTGCTAGCAATGGGGTTATCAATCCACATTACTAACAATCCCTTCCCCCCCCCCCCCCCCTTAGGACTTATGTTTTTGAACTATTCTAACGCAGTTGGCCGCAGCTTCACCGAACGATAAGGCCGAGTACAGATCTATGGCGAGGCTAGGGACTAGGCGGGGCAGTACCCCCGGGACCTTCAAGCTCAGGGGGCCTATCTTGTCTGTTTGTCTGTCTGTTTGTTCCGGCTAATCTCTGAAATAACTGCACTGATTTAAACGGGACTTTTTTGGCAGGTAGCTGATGTAATAAGGAGTAACTTTTTTAGAAAAATAAAGTTAAATTCCACGCGGACGAAGTCGCGATCACAGCTAGTAATAAATAATAAATAAATAATGTTACGCAACAAGTAATCAGTCTTATCTAATCCAGTCTTAAACAGACATTTAGTGACCCGGTCTGATCGGGACGCATTCCCAGACCCCTGAAAATCGGGGCGTCCCGCGGAAATCGGGACACCGGCACAACTACTTTTATTTTAGAACAATAAAGTTAAATTCCACGCGGACTAAGTCGCGGGACAGCTAGTGTTACATATGAATGTTTATCCGTTCACAGCCAACAGTGCGTGATGCCGATGATCCCGTTGGGGCTGAAGGAGACGAAGGAAGTGGACTTCAGGGAGCCATTTAAGGACTTCATCCTGGAGCACTACAGCGAGGACGCCGCTACATACGAAGATGCTATCTCCGACTTCATGGACATGAGACAGGTATCATAAAATAAATAACTATATTTTATAAATATTTTAAAAAAAATCACGTGTTTAATAATCATTACATAGTATAAAACAGTCGCTGTCGCTGTTTGTCCCTATGTATACTTAAATCTTTAAAACTACGCAACGGATTTTGAAGCGGTTTTTTAATAGATAGAGTAATTCTAGAGGAAGGTTTATATGTATAATACATGTACACCCAGGCGAAGCCACGGCTTCGCACGGGTGTTATTGTCTGTGTCTATTAAAAAACCATTTCAAAATCCGTTGCGTAGTTTTAAAGATTTAAGTATACATAGGGACGGACAGACAGCGACTTTGTTTTATACTATATAATGATATACGCTAGCTGGGCCTGTGTGAAATTTATAGCTTATGTGTTATTCTGATCTATAAGCTATATTATTGTAAAGTTTAATTAAAAACCATTCAGTAGATTTTGCGTGAAACATAACAAACATCTGTCCATGCTCTATATTCGTCTTTATAATACTACTAAGATTTACTATTTAGACTCTAATGAATTAGTACTAGTTGGTAGTTTGTATTCACACATTTAAACTTAACATTATTTAAAAGAGCAACACGCAACTTTCTCGTTATTGCAAAAGCAATATCATATGCTGGTGGTCACTCTATTCTCACAAATTTGAATTTAAACGAATCTGTATTATTGTAAACATGTACAACATTTATTTGAAAAGAATACGAGCTGAGTTTCTTGTCAGTTGTTCTCATCTCGAAATCATTCCGAACTGACGGTAGATTTGACATATCATAAAAGTCTGTAATAGACCTACATGAATGAAGATATTTTTAATTAGAATTTGTAGGTCGCAATGCTACAGGTCCAAGCACCTGACAATAGCTCAACCCAATAAAAAATATACATGTTGAAATTCCAGGCGATGCGCACACCAGTACGGTCGACGGCGGGCGTGGCCCTCCTCTTCAAATACTACAACCAGCTGTACTTCATTGAGAGGCGGTTCTTCCCACCAGACAGATCTCTCGGGGTCTACTTCGAGTGGTTTGATTCTCTAACTGGTAAGAACTTCTTTTTAATTCAGCATAGGCATTTTTTTTTATACCACGATGGTGGCAATCAAGCATACGGCCCATCTGATGGTAAATGGTTACCGTAGCCTATGAACGCCTGAAACACCAGGGGTATCACTTGCGCGTTGCCGACCCTTAAGAAGCCTTGATATACCCTTCTTGAAAAACCAAACATACAAACTAGAGGCTCGACTGATGGTGATTACCCATGAGCACCCGCAACGCCAGGGGAATTGCAAGTACGTTGTCGGCCTTTTAAGAAGGAATAAGCTCTTTTCTTGAAGGTTTCAATATCGTATCGCTTCGGAAATACCATTGCTGGAAGGTGATTCCACAATGTGGTTGTGCGTGGCAAAAAGTTTCTAGAAAACCGCACTGTGGAGGACCGCCATTCGTCCAGGTGATCAGGATGGTATCTTAGTTTTCGGCGGGTAATGCCATGGTGAAGTAGATGGAGATATTGAGTGGATTACAGATATAGTAGTAAATATAATTTACTTTCGTTCCGATCGCAGTTGCACGTTACATACAAACTGTTACTGACCAACAATACTTATTATAAATGTGATGGATTATACTTTTTCTTCATCAATGTGCCTAATAGAAATTCACCAGCTGGTATTAGTCCCAAAAGTTACTCAGAACACTTTTCGTAATTACATCGTGCTCGTAACCACAAGACTGTTTGTGTAAAGAAATATATTCTAAGTTTTTTTTACTACGATGGTGGCAAACAAGCATATGGCACATCTGATTGTAAAGGGTTCGTCGTAGCCTCTGAACGCCTGAGCCCCTAAGAAACCCTAATAGAAGGTATATTCTCGAAAAACCCCTATGCTGTAGTCTCTTGAGAAAACCTCGGCAGGTAGTTCATTCAACAATGTAAGTGTACGCGGGAGGAAGCTCCTCTGAAACCGCACTGTCCGAGACCACTTAGGTTCCAGAGTGTGATGAATTCCCTGTCGATGGCGAGCGGTGCGATGGTAAAATGTAGCCGTAGACATCATATTGTAACTACTAGACCATGTCGTGTATCACGTTGATTCGCCTCTCCATTAACATGTCTGAAACAATAATTTCCAGGAGTCCCTTCCTGCCAAAGAACTGTGGCTTTCGAGAAAGCCTGCGTCCTGTTCAACATGGCCGGCATATATACACAAATTGGTGCTAAACAGGTAAATATTCGTTTAATTATTACTTTTTACAGGTAAGAAAAAGTAAACAAACTTTAAATAAAGTTTGGAAGAAAAAAATCTTACACTATTTGAAAAATATAACTCTTTTTTCGGACTACTCTAATGCTGTCGTGTGACACCCGTATTGCCACTCATGCGTTGTCATCCAATTCGAACTGGGATCGGAATTACGACAGCCTGAGTCGAGGTTCGAAACCCTAGCAGTGCCTTCAGACTAAAGTCGTATCCGTCAGGCGGGAGTTGTCCTTCAGCCGCTCCATAAGTCCTTCCTTTGGTTTGGAGTGCCATCTGCACTCGCCCCCTATCGTCCGGAGAAGCTGTAAAGGCCAGCTGCGGCCAGCATTAGAGTAGTCCGAAAAAAAACATTTCAGAGGACTAAGATGTCATGCCTCTACTCCTGTAATTTTACTACTTAATCTGCACCCTACAACCGAAATAGGATTTCACAGCTTGGCGGCTGAAATAGGTGAGAATGAGGTACCCAGGCATTTGAAATTTTACAGTTTATCTCTGATAAAATTTTTAGTCAATCAAAATCGATTCAATCACTTCTCCCATACTATTAGTCGTTCCCCTGTCTTTAGAGAAATGTTATTTATTTGCATTGTCCATGGTCGAAGTGATATGGACTGAGATTGTGTATGTGTTGTATGTATGTGTATGAGTTGCATGGGTGTCGTAGGAGCGCAGCACGTGCGCGGGCCTGGACGGCGCTGTGGACGCGTTGCTGCGTGCGGCCGGCACGCTGCGGTACATTCACGAGAACTTCACCAACGCGCCCTCCGTGGACCTGGCGGCAGACACGCTGCTCGTGCTCGGCGCGCTCATGACGGTACTCTACACCTGTACATTTTCCCTCGAGGGTTCTCTCCGAGTTCACTCTCGATTCGTCTCACCATTTTTAAAATTTTTGAATTTTTAACAATATTTCAATTGAAAGATACTTTTTATACATAATACAGTGGACCCCCGGTAGTCCGACAATCATTTTGCAGGGCAGTGTCGGACCATCTTATTTGTCGGATTATAGAGCTGCTTAAGGGTCCCCTGCTTATAGTCCGGAATTTTTTACAAAAGAGTATCTTGTAATCCGACAAATTACAGATCCAGTGATAAGATTCTATGTTATATATGTTTGTATGTATATGCACTCTGAAGTATATTGTCAAAGTAATATTCAATAACAAATAATAGACAATGTCGGATTACAAGGGGGGCCGGATTAGACAGGGGCCGGATTACCGCGGGTCCACTGTATGTCGTTTGAGGAACAAAGGTAAATATAAAACTAAATTTCATTTCACACATGTCACTACAGCGTGTGATTTTTCAAGAATATTATGTGTTCTTAAGGGTCGGCAGCTTGTACGTGACAACCCTGGTGTTTAAGGCGTCCAAATTTGCCACCTACGTAATATAAAAATATAAGGTTTTCTCTCGAAACTTTCTCGAGTCTAGAAAGTCAGAAAAATCGGGACAAGAAAAATCACTGAAGAACTTAACAAATCGAGAGTTCTCGAAACTCGAGAAATAAAATATGCTAACAAATCTAAAACCCTACCTTCAACTGAAACACAAAGCAAGTTCCTATGCAAGTGGCAGTGCTTGCTGCAATGATGTAACTCCTGGTGTATGCAGGTCCTGACGTGCGTTCCAGACGCTTGTTTGCGACTTGGGTAGTATAAAAGGGATTTCTGTCAAAATTTCTCGCCTTGAGAAAGTCTGAGAAATCGAGGAAAAGTCGAGACGAAAAAATCACTGTGAAACTCGAGAAATCGACAAATGAGTATCGGGAATCCTCGAAACTATAAAAAAAGTAATGCCGATAACCTGTAATACAGCTTCTCAAAGCAAGTTGCTCGGTGCAAGTGGCAGTACTGATGTAATTCTTGGTGTAAGCAAACCCTAATCTGAGTGCTGCAATGATGTAACTGCTGGTGTGTAGGCAGACCCTGATGAACAGAATCGGATGATGAATTTTGGTCTCGATTGGGAAAACCGTTTTGGAGGAGTATCGTCACAAAGAGTGCAAATCTGATCTCTAATATTGCTCGCTGGTGTTGTACAAATTACTAGTTAGCATTTTTCTAAAAAATCAAAACATTAAAACGATTAGAAGGAGTAAAGATGTAGAAAGATAATACATTTATTTGGTACATACAGGGGCGGATCGTGAATTTATGGGGCCTTGGCCTAATCTACTTAGGGGCTCACCTAATTATATTACTCAACTAACAAAAACAAGCGACTAGAAATTTCCCGTTCCTTTCTATAGATGCGCACTTGCATGGGTTGATCAATCTCAGGGTTGCCGACCTTATGATAGGTTTTTTAACTTAGAAAGTTAAAAAACCTATCATAAGGTTGGCAAAAATATATAATTCAGTGGGGACTGGGGGTCCGTTGTATCCTCGGGCCCCAAAAAGCCCTTAGGTAAATCCGGCCCTGTTGAAGTATCGGATGTGTGTGCAGGCGCAGGCCCGGGAGTGCTTGTTCGAGAAGCTGCAGCTGCAGGCGCGCGAGGCGTCCCCCGCCGAGCTGCGGCGCGACCTCGACATGTGCCTCGACCTCGCGCAGGAGAGCGCGCAGCTCGCGCACACCTACCGACAGCTCTACGACAAGGTGCGTGGTCGTGCTGATAGTGATGATGATGATAGTGATGATGACGGTGGAGATGATGATGATAAGTGTGGTATACGCCACGAACAGGGTACGTTCAGAAATTTATTACGATTTTTTGAAGTTTAGTAACTTTGTTATTGACATATTTAATTTTGAGGTTTGAATTATTAAAGTTTGAGGTTCGAAACGTTGTTCGCGGGGTCAGCTAGTATAGTATATATATATGACTAGCTGTACTCTCGACTTCGTCCGCGTGGAATTTAACAAAAAAGAGAATACAGATGTTTTCTAAAATAAAGGTAGCCTAAGTTACTCCTTATTACATTAAATACCTGCCATTAAAAGTCCCGTCTAAATCGGTCCAGCCATTTCAGGGATTAGCTGAAACAAACAGACTGACAGACAGAGAAAAATTGTAAAAATTGTTATTTTGGTGTATGTACCGTATTTATATTCATATGCATGTAGTAAAAAACGGTTATTCTAATATTACAATTTTATTTATATGTATAGATGATATATAAAAAATTAATAATAATTTTTATTTATATCTCCTCACAAAAATTGGTTGGCAACAGATATATTTCGTTTGTTTATAATACTTTATTGTACAATCATATTATAAATAAAAGAACACACTTGACTTGAATAAAATGCGTACAATTCTATTCTATTCTATTCTATTCTTCCAGTCAACTTCTATTTAGTATTAATAAACATTATTTGATGTTCAGATGCAGTCAGAGGGTGTGTTCAACTATGTGCCATACTCGTGGGTTTCCTTGGTCCACGTGAAGACTGAATTTTATAAAGGTACGCAAAATATAATAGCAAAACTGAAGTGGCAATGGACAGGGCACATAGCTCGTAGGACAGACGATATAAAGTCCTCGAGTGGCGACCGCGGACCGGAAGACGCAGTGGGAAGGCCTCCAGCAAGGTGCACCGACGATCTAGTCGAGATCGCTGGAAGGCGTTCGATGTGAGCAGCGCAGGACCGATCGTCGTGGAGATCTTTGCGGGAGGCCTTTGTTTTGCAGTGGACGTCTTCCAGGCTGAGATGATTATGATGATGATGATGATGATTATGATGATGATGACGCAAAATATACTTAATATTTTTTACTACTTCAGGGATTTATATTATATTGTTTAATTCCCCTAAAATTTGTGTTCGCCGAACAGTCAACAAAGGTTTCCAAGCTGGATATAGCTTGGAAACCTTTTCGAACTCTATTCAACGCCTGATGATGCCTCGTCCAGAGGTGAAACACGACGCAATATGGGTGTAGACTCAAGAACGGTCGGAATTTGATCACCAATAGAGAAGGTCGTAACTGTAGTCAAGTTTCCGCACTGAATATTGGAGGTTATCTCATTATAGGCACTTGGGAATCCGTGGTGAGCTTATTCAGCTGGTATGACAAGTACAAAATGAAGTTACTTTCGTTGTCTGTTCGCTTAGATCTTTGAAACTATACAACGGGTTTTAAGGCAGTTTTTGACAGTAGAAAGAGTGATTCAAGAGGAAGGCGAGTAGTTTTTTATTTTTTCGGACTAGTCCAATGCTATTAGCCGCAGCTGGCCTTTCAGTTTCACCGGACGATAGGTGGCGAGTGCAGATGGCACTCCAAACCAAAGGAAAGACTTATGGAGCGGCTGAAGGACAACTCCCGCCTGACGGATACGACTTTAGTCTGAGGGCAGCTCTAGGGGTTCGACCTCTGCTCAGGCCGTCGTTTCGATACCCGTTTGAATTGGACGGTGGATCGATCAGAGGGCTAGTTCCTTATAAATAAATGGTGAGTGTTGCAGCGCTGGCGCACCAGTACTGCGCGAGTGGGTTGCTACACGCGCCCTCCGGCGGCTCTCGAGAACGACTGCTGGCACTGTACGCGCCCTCGGGGGACAGAACGCCCGAAAATGGTAACTATTTTTTTACACCCAATAATAATACAGATGGCCGTTGGGGCAGTAAAGTCCTCGAGTGGCGACCACGGACCGGAAGACGCAGCGTGGGAAGGCCTCCAGCAAGGTGGACCGACGATCTGGTCAAGATCGCTGGAAGGCATTGGATGCGAGCAGCGCAGGACCGATCGTCGTGGAGATCTTTGGGGGAGGCCTATGTCCAGCAGTGGACGTCTTCCGGGCTGCGATGATGATGATGATGATGAATAACACATATTTTTTTATATTAAAATAATAATAGTAATAAATTTTATTTCATCTCCACAAATTACATTCCATTTTTATTATATAAATGCCAACAATAAAAATCACAAATATAATTTGTGGCAAAGCTAGAGCTCAAACTAAGCTGTACCAGGATGTTAGATACCAGGACTGTCCTTCAGATAAATTTGTAACACATTCAGTTTTAAGTTTAAACGTGGAGTGCACTAAGCATATGTGTGTGCGCGTGTGTTTGTGTGTGTGTGTGTGTGTGTGTGTGTGTGTGTGTGTGTGTGTGTGTGTGTGTGTGTGTGTGTGTGTGTGTGTGTGTGTGTGTGTGTGTGTGTGTGTGTGTGTGTGTGTGTGTGTGTGTGTGTGTGTGTATGTGTGTGTGTGTGAAAATGACAAACAATAAAGTATTGCGATGCCGCTTATGTTGATGTAACTTACACCACTCAAGTGTAATTTTTTAAATTAATTTATTCATAGTTAACAATGAGGACGTACAACAATCCCTATCACTAACAATCCCCTCTCCAAGCTAACGCGTATTTAGAAATAGAAATAATCTTTATTCAAATAAACTTAATATAAGCACTTTTGAACAGTCAAGTTTCTTGATTCTACCTCTTGTATATACGTCTATGTACTTCCACAGGTTCATCAGTAACTCCATTGCTAAAGGACCAGGAGCTGGACTACATGGCATTAGGACGAGCTCACCTCGCTGAAGCGTTAACACTTTACGAAGAAGCGTTAAGACTACAGAGAATGTGCCGGTGAGAATACTAGAAATGTTATTTAAATAATTGAAATAAAGAGGGAACGCTGCCAGTATCTTCGGAACTTTGCCTAAAGAGACCCCTTTTAATACTCTAAAATTAAAGTACTTTCTATGATTACATAGTAAATAGAATAATTATAATAGAACTTGATTGATTATTGAAATAATTTTATACAGATTATTTTAAAAGTACATTCCTTTTCAAGTAATTTGAATAGCAAACAAATTCTAATTCAAAAATCATTTATTCATGTAGGACATTTTAGCCGCTTATGAACGTCATATTTTTTATATTATAATTTTTTCCATACCGTCCATTTCAGCATATAGATCCAATTGAAAAGAACTGGCACAAAACTTAATTTAATTACTTTTATTTTTAAAGTCAGTTTATTTACAATGTATATTTATATAGGTGTCTATATCTAACATTAAATGAAATCCCGAGCATGAACAACTATTGCCATGCTCCTCATTCAATACGTTGTCGCTGGCGGTGTGTGTGTGACGTAGTGTGACCTGTGTGTGTGTGTGCGTGTGCAGCGAGCTGCGCAGCAAGCAGGCGCTGTCGCTGGCGGTGTGTGTGTGACGTAGTGTGACCTGTGTGTGTGTGTGTGTGTGCAGCGAGCTGCGCAGCAAGCAGGCGCTGTCGCTGGCGGTGTGTGTGTGACGTAGTGTGACCTGTGTGTGTGTGTGTGTGTGTGTGCAGCGAGCTGCGCAGCAAGCAGGCGCTGTCGCTGGCGGTGTGTGTGTGACGTAGTGTGACCTGTGTGTGTGTGTGTGTGTGTGCAGCGAGCTGCGCAGCAAGCAGGCGCTGTCGCTGGCGGTGTGTGTGTGACGTAGTGTGACCTGTGTGTGTGTGTGCGTGTGCAGCGAGCTGCGCAGCAAGCAGGCGCTGTCGCTGGCGGTGTGTGTGTGACGTAGTGTGACCTGTGTGTGTGTGTGTGTGTGTGCAGCGAGCTGCGCAGCAAGCAGGCGCTGTCGCTGGCGCTGTGTGTGTGACGTAGTGTGACCTGTGTGTGTGTGTGTGTGCAGCGAGCTGCGCAGCAAGCAGGCGCTGTCGCTGGCGGTGTGTGTGTGACGTAGTGTGACCTGTGTGTGTGTGTGTGTGCAGCGAGCTGCGCAGCAAGCAGGCGCTGTCGCTGGCGGTGTGTGTGTGACGTAGTGTGACCTGTGTGTGTGTGTGTGTGCAGCGAGCTGCGCAGCAAGCAGGCGCTGTCGCTGGCGGTGTGTGTGTGACGTAGTGTGACCTGTGTGTGTGTGTGTGTGTGTGCAGCGAGCTGCGCAGCAAGCAGGCGCTGTCGCTGGCGGTGTGTGTGTGACGTAGTGTGACCTGTGTGTGTGTGTGTGTTCAGCGAGCTGCGCAGCAAGCAGGCGCTGTCGCTGGCGGTGTGTGTGTGACGTAGTGTGACCTGTGTGTGTGTGTGTGTGTGCAGCGAGCTGCGCAGCAAGCAGGCGCTGTCGCTGGCGGTGTGTGTGTGACGTAGTGTGACCTGTGTTTGTGTGTGTGTGTGCAGCGAGCTGCGCAGCAAGCAGGCGCTGTCGCTGGCGGTGTGTGTGTGACGTAGTGTGACCTGTGTGTGTGTGTGTGTGCAGCGAGCTGCGCAGCAAGCAGGCGCTGTCGCTGGCGGTGTGTGTGTGACGTAGTGTGACCTGTGTGTGTGTGTGTGTGCAGCGAGCTGCGCAGCAAGCAGGCGCTGTCGCTGGCGGTGTGTGTGTGACGTAGTGTGACCTGTGTGTGTGTGTGTGTGTGCAGCGAGCTGCGCAGCAAGCAGGCGCTGTCGCTGGCGGTGTGTGTGTGACGTAGTGTTACCTGTGTGTGTGTGTGTGTGTGTGCAGCGAGCTGCGCAGCAAGCAGGCGCTGTCGCTGGCGGTGTGTGTGTGACGTAGTGTGACCTGTGTGTGTGTGTGTGTGTGCAGCGAGCTGCGCAGCAAGCAGGCGCTGTCGCTGGCTGTGTGTGTGTGACGTAGTGTGACCTGTGTGTGTGTGTGTGTGCAGCGAGCTGCGCAGCAAGCAGGCGCTGTCGCTGGCGGTGTGTGTGTGACGTAGTGTGACCAGTGTGTGTGTGTGTGTGCAGCGAGCTGCGCAGCAAGCAGGCGCTGTCGCTGGCGGTGTGTGTGTGACGTAGTGTGACCTGTGTGTGTGTGTGTGTGTGTGCAGCGAGCTGCGCAGCAAGCAGGCGCTGTCGCTGGCGGTGTGTGTGTGACGTAGTGTGACCTGTGTGTGTGTGTGTGTGTGCAGCGAGCTGTGCAGCAAGCAGGCGCTGTCGCTGGCGGTGTGTGTGTGACGTAGTGTGACCTGTGTGTGTGTGTGTGTGCAGCGAGCTGCGCAGCAAGCAGGCGCTGTCGCTGGCGGTGTGTGTGTGACGTAGTGTGACCTGTGTGTGTGTGTGTGTGTGTGCAGCGAGCTGCGCAGCAAGCAGGCGCTGTCGCTGGCGGTGTGTGTGTGACGTAGTGTGACCTGTGTGTGTGTGTGTGTGCAGCGAGCTGCGCAGCAAGCAGGCGCTGTCGCTGGCGGTGTGTGTGTGACGTAGTGTGACCTGTGTGTGTGTGTGTGTGCAGCGAGCTGCGCAGCAAGCAGGCGCTGTCGCTGGCGGTGTGTGTGTGACGTAGTGTGACCTGTGTGTGTGTGTGTGTGCAGCGAGCTGCGCAGCAAGCAGGCGCTGTCGCTGGCGGTGTGTGTGTGACGTAGTGTGACCTGTGTGTGTGTGTGTGTGTGCAGCGAGCTGCGCAGCAAGCAGGCGCTGTCGCTGGCGGTGTGTGTGTGACGTAGTGTGACCTGTGTGTGTGTGTGTGCAGCGAGCTGCGCAGCAAGCAGGCGCTGTCCCTGCGGTGTGTGTGTGACGTAGTGTGACCTGTGTGTGTGTGTGTGTGCAGCGAGCTGCGCAGCAAGCAGGCGCTATCGCTGGCGGTGTGTGTGTGACGTAGTGTGACCTGTGTGTGTGTGTGTGTGTGTGCAGCGAGCTGCGCAGCAAGCAGGCGCTGTCCCTGCGGTGTGTGTGTGACGTAGTGTGACCTGTGTGTGTGTGTGTGTGTGTGCAGCGAGCTGCGCAGCAAGCAGGCGCTGTCGCTGGCGGTGTGTGTGTGACGTAGTGTGACCTGTGTGTGTGTGTGTGTGTGCAGCGAGCTGCGCAGCAAGCAGGCGCTGTCGCTGGCGGTGTGTGTGTGACGTAGTGTGACCTGTGTGTGTGTGTGTGTGTGTGTGCAGCGAGCTGCGCAGCAAGCAGGCGCTGTCGCTGGCGGTGTGTGTGTGACGTAGTGTGACCTGTGTGTGTGTGTGTGCAGCGAGCTGCGCAGCAAGCAGGCGCTGTCCCTGCGGTGTGTGTGTGACGTAGTGTGACCTGTGTGTGTGTGTGTGTGTGTGTGCAGCGAGCTGCGCAGCAAGCAGGCGCTGTCGCTGGCGGTGTGTGTGTGACGTAGTGTGACCTGTGTGTGTGTGTGTGTGTGTGTGCAGCGAGCTGCGCAGCAAGCAGGCGCTGTCCCTGCGGTGTGTGTGTGACGTAGTGTGACCTGTGTGTGTGTGTGTGTGTGTGTGCAGCGAGCTGCGCAGCAAGCAGGCGCTGTCCCTGCGGTGTGTGTGTGACGTAGTGTGACCTGTGTGTGTGTGTGTGTGTGTGTGTGTGCAGCGAGCTGCGCAGCAAGCAGGCGCTGTCGCTGGCGGTGTGTGTGTGACGTAGTGTGACCTGTGTGTGTGTGTGTGTGTGTGTGCAGCGAGCTGCGCAGCAAGCAGGCGCTGTCCCTGCGGTGTGTGTGTGACGTAGTGTGACCTGTGTGTGTGTGTGTGTGTGTGTGTGCAGCGAGCTGCGCAGCAAGCAGGCGCTGTCGCTGGCGGTGTGTGTGTGACGTAGTGTGACCTGTGTGTGTGTGTGTGTGTGTGTGCAGCGAGCTGCGCAGCAAGCAGGCGCTGTCGCTGGCGGTGCGCGCGCAGCTGGAGCGCGCGGCCCGCGAGCGCCCGTCCGGTCGCCCGCTGGACCCGCGCGGGCCGCACGACCCGGACGACTTCGCGGACCTGCTCGACGCGCCGCACATACACCGTGAGTATGCACGCCGACCGAACATATTCATAAATAACTATCACCTGCGACGTCTAATCTAGATCTGTGCTCATGATTTCACTGTTCGGTCCACCACTTCGTCGATAGTTGTCAGTTGGCTCTTACTACTCCACCGGGGATCGAGCATTAACAATCTCTTACATGAATCTCTTACAATCTCTTACTATGGGATCATTCATAAATTACGTCTCACGTTAAAAGGGGGCAAGGTGTGTGACAAAAAGGTGACAAGGCCACATTTAAATTTTAGTATAAGACCTTGTCACTTTGTCACATCTTGTAGCACGAAATGTGACAAGGTCACATTTAAATTTAAGTTTTAAACCTTACATCTTCTGTGACAAAATGTGACAAGGTCACATTTCAATTTGAATTTAAGACCTTATCACATCTTGCATGATAAAATGTGACAGAATCACATTTAAATTTTAGTTTTAAACTTTGTCACACTTTGTCACATCTTGTGTGACAAAGTCACATTTCTTAGTAAATTACGTCATAGTAAATTAGTGCTAGTTGATAGTTTGTATTCACACATTTCAACTTAATAATGTAAAGTTCCAACAAAAATATTTAAAAGAAAAACACGCAAGTTTCTTGCTCATTCTTCTTGTGACGAGACAGCTTTCCAAATGAGCTGTAGATTAAAAAAATAAGTCTATTCAAAAGTGCATAAATGTATTTTTATTTGAATAAACCATTTTCTATTCTATTCTTTCCTAATCCCACAGCATCATCGAAATTCCAACTGTCCCTAACACCACCGGATTTCGCCCAGCACCGAGTCGAGGATCTGTTCAAATCTCTCGGCCCGATCGCCATATTCTCAGCTAAGCGGCACTGGAGTGCGCCCCGACTCGTCCAACTCCAAAAGAACGGCGACAAACGGCTAAACGGCAGACCAGAAAAACGGAACGGCAGACTGGACGAGCAGGAACACAGAAACGGGAAGAGAACAGAGAAGCGCGACAGATCCGAAGATAACAGCACTTATTACAATCAAGTGATAAGAAGCGATGAGAAGTACACAGAAGAATATGAGAAGAAGAAACTGCATAGAGTGACAAAACAAAATGGCGTCTATATAAACAGTTATAATAATAATAATAACTACGATTATCACCCGAAAGTTTTGGATTATGATAAAGATTATAATTGTAGGAATAAACCGGGTGTTGAGAATGGGGTTTGTAAACACGAGGTCAATGGGAAGGTGAACGGGAGGGAAAGGAAGAAAGGAGAGCTGAGGAGAGTGGCCAGTGAATACAACGTGTCCAATGGAAAGTCGGATGGTGATGGGTTTGGATTCTCCGTGAGAGGAGACGCGCCTGTCATCATCGCTGCGGTGGAACCCAATTCATTGGCTGATGTAAGTGAAAATTTAACATTTATAAATGCAACCTCGGTGATCTAGTAGTATGCAGCCCCCGCTCTACTTTCGATGGTCGCAAGTTCGGTTCCTTGCACAACATTTATATTAATGTTTGTATCGGTCTGGCTGTTTTCTATTTATTGCGTAGTACTCATAACACAGGCTCTGCTAAGCTTGGGACTATATGGCCACCGCCGTCTTAAACTAGGCTGGGGCCGTTGGGCACACAAGAATTCGGGGCCCTTATGGAAAGTAAAAAAGAAAAAAAATAGGAATAGGCGAAGTAATCGGTATAATGGCGTAGTATATGCCTTGTGATAACCTTCTGATAACATTACTGAATTGTGAAAAAAGTGTAGTGTGCCCGACAAAAATCTTTTGAGAATATTCCCATTGCGTCTTCCAGTCCGCGGTCGCCACTCGAGGACTTTACTGCCCCAACGGCCATCTGTCCTACGAGCTATATGCCTGCCCATTGCCACTTCAATGTCGCAATTCTTCGGGCTATGTCGGTCACTCTGGTTCTTCTGCGGATCTCCTCATTTCTGAATCACTATTTAAAAATACCAAATTTATTTTACAGATTGGCGGTATGCGAGAAGGCGACTTCATAATATCGATAGGTGATAAAGACGTCAAATGGAGTTCTCATGATGAGGTGGTGAGGCTCATACAGCAGACTGGAGACACCCTCACCATGCGGCTAGCATCACCCATGGACAAAAGCTGCCTCAAGGTAAACCATAGACAATTCAAACATACTGATAAATCTAAAAAACTTACCAAAGATTGTTGAAAGTCACTGAGTAAAAACATTTTGTTTTGTGGATGATAATGATATGGTGCACCATCATACGCTAACGGAGCACCAGTGGAGGATGATAAGATGACTGAGGTCAGATCAGTTAGCAATAAAGTGTTATAAAACAATAAATAAATAAGCTCAATTTATGACAGGCCTCCCCAGAAACTACCCGGCAGTCGAACTCCAACCAGGGCTCCGTATCGGCCGCGTCCACAGCGTCCAGCGGATCCACGGCCGTGACTGCTCGTTCATCCGCACGACGGGCGCCATCTTGGAATCCCTTCCGAAGACACACGACCAGAGACACGAGCTCCCACCGAGGCTCTCACACTAACGTAATATTCAGATAACCGCCATCTATTGGCTGCGTTCGGTAATGTACAGCGCCATCTATCGGCTGCCCCGCGAAATGTCGGGAAACAAGTTATTGAATAGACTGATATATCGTCACCAATGTTTAATAGCTCTTTATGTAGTTAGAATTCTTTGGAGTATACCAAAATATAAGCAAGTTATAGAGAACACGTTCAGATAAACACCATCTATCATTCGGTAATGAACAGCGCCATCTATCGGCTGCCCCTCGAACAGTCGTTGAATAAATTGATATATTTTCACCAACGTTTAATAACTCTTTATATGGTTAAGATTTTTTGGAGTACACTAAAATATAAGCAAGTTATAGAGAACAAATTCAGATAAACGCCATCTATCATTCGAAGCTAACAGATCATATATACTCTCTAATGGATTCTCTATAACATCAAAAAAAACTTGTCAATTAAAAAAAAACATTTTTTTTACTAAAAAAAAACTTTCAACTTATATACATGATAATTAAAAATAATGTTTTACGTAAACTAGATTTATTTTCTGTCTCATTGTTGGTGTGAGCTAAAAATCTTTCTCAACTTACCAAAAATCTTTATTTTAATAAAAAAAAACTTTCTCAACTCTATATTAAATAATTGCAAAGTGTAATAAGTTAATAATTACCTATTATATTTTTCTCTAACATGAATTTTGGTATTATGACTCAAAAATATATATATATTTTAACATCTTTTTAATCCCACATATATGAAGCTTTGTTGTAAATGTTGTTAAACAATAACCCAATTAAAATTTGATCATGAACTTGAACAACAAAATGGAGGACAAAATATTTTGAACTGTTCTTACTAAAGTCTGCGGAAATGAGTTTGCATGACGTTTGAATATGTCAATTTACCACATTATGGGGAAAATTGTTCAGTTTCATTAATGTAACTGGCTTTTGGGGAACCTTTTATAACCGTATTAATTCTTTTCAAGTAAACTGTCGCATCTTTATAGCAAATAAAAGACGTGTACAGTTATTTTAGTGTTGATTTAAAGTCGTGGAAGCATTAATCGACAGTCGATAAAGACAGGTGTAAACATATCAATCATATAGGTAGTTAATACATTCATTTTATTGTATATAATATAAACTTATATATGTATATCAGTTTGGTCTTGGTATCAGAAAATATTTTTAAAAAAATGTGTATAATATTATAGCGGGAAAACCAAACTGTCATTTACGTAAGTATATATTCGCGCGCTCAATAACAAACTGCATTAAATCTAAAAATAAAATAATGAAAACTCGACTTTAATTCATTATGTTTAAAGTTTAAAACTCCTCAATGTCCTGTTTCCACATATTTGTTTTTACTCAGTTACAAACCGCATTAAGTCCTAAAGAAAATTATGGAAACTCAACTTTAAAACATTATTCTTAAAGTTTAAAATTCTTTAATGCCGTGTTTCCACATATTTGTTTTTACTCAATACTCAATTGCATTTCTTAAAAATGTTGGAAAACATATTACGCCGACCCCAAATAAATGGGATAAGGAAGAAGCAGATGATGATGATGTTGGAAAATCGACTTTAAAACGATTTTCTTAAAGTTTAGAATTCTTTAAAGTTGAGTTTGCAGATATTATTTTTTTAGTCGATGCAGTTACTTTTTAAGAGCGCGAGTGAATGTATACAGTATTTTTAGGTTATATATTTATATCTTTAGGTTTGAGAATATAAATATTTGGTTGTGATCGATGTGGAAGTCAATAATTTTATTCTGTTATATAAAATTGATCGCACCCAAATGTTATATATTGTAGCTATAATTTAGGTTGAGTTTGTCACAAGTTGATTTTGTTTTGTATAAAGACTACTTATATGTTATGTTGTAAGAGTGTATATCTGTATAAAATGTAAGTGAAAAGTTATATTAATATTATGTATAAATTGTTATGGATCACAGAAACATCTTTGGAACAATAAAGTTTATTTAAAGGAGTTCATTTATTATTTAACTAGCTGTGCCTGTCGTTACACCTGCGTGAAATTTATAGCCTGTGGGATCAAATCAGGGGCGGATCTACTTAAGGGCTTTTTGGGCTGCAGCCGAGGACCCCCAGGCCCCACTAAAACGATATCATTACATAGTATAAAACAAAGTCGCTGTCGCTGTCTATCCGTCCCTATGTATGCTTAAATCTTTAACTACGCAACAGATTTTGAAGCGGTTTTTTTAATAAATAGAGTGATTCAAGAGGTAGGTCTATATTTATGATATATGTACACCCGAGAGAAGCCGGGGCGAGTAGCTAGTTTAGAATATTCAAAAATATCTAGATTGTTAAAAAACCTATCATAAGGTTGGCAACACTGAGATCAATCAACCGATGCAAGTGCGCGTCTATAGAAAGGAACGGGGAGTTTCTGGTGGCTTGTTTTTGGTCGGTTATTTTTTTAGTTGAGTAATATAATTAGGTAGGTCACTAATCAGATTTAGTGCAGGGCACCACAAATACACGATCCGCCCCTGGCCTGTGTTATTCTGATAAGCTATATTACTGTAAAATTTCATTAAAATCCGCTCAGTAATTTTTGCGTGAAAGAGTAACAAACATCCGTCTGTCCATACATACTCACAAAATATCGCGTTTATAATATTAACTAGCTTTTACCCGCGGCTTCGCTCGCGTTAATTTATCCCCTTAGGGGTGGAATTTATCAAAATCCTTAGGGGATGCCTTCGTCATAGTAGCTTTATGCATGCAAAGTCTCAGCCCGATCGGTTTAAAATTGACAAAGTTTCATACAAAATTTCATCCTCTATTTTATCCCCTTGGAAAGAAGAATTTTGATTAATTCTACCCATTAATCAAAATTCTTTCTTAGCGGATGCCTACGTCATAACATCTACCTGCATGCCAAATTTCAGTCCGATCCGTCCAGTGGTTTGGGCTGTGCGTTGATAGATTATTATGTCAGTCAGTCACCTTTGAGTTATATATATTTAGATTTTTATAATAATGTGGTTACATTATGTACCAAAAATAACATACGTATGTATTTATTTTTGCTGAGAAGGTTAAACATAAAATTTAATACCTTTTACTTCAATTATCTTATTTATTAAATTCACAATATATTTTTAATCATTAACTTACAACTTCTGCTTCAAATTTCGAACTCCAGACTGGATATACGGAGCTGCCGACAAGGACAGAGAGAGGACTAGACAGTGTGAGAGACAAGGACTTTGGATAAATGACCGTTATTTCCATAGATGATATACATACAACTAGAGAGCAGCGTAACTAACACAAATATCTCCGTCTCAACTGTTGCTGATCTACTCTCGCTCTCACTGCGTTCCGTGAATACTGTTTATGTTTTATGGTTGCCTGGTACTTTGAAACAATTTCACACAACTCGAATCTTTAAATGGACTCACAATTTCTGCTTAAATAATTATCAGACCGGATATAATAAATAATATAAAAAATGACGATGGACACGTGATGTCAATGACTCTATACTATAGCTGAGAGAGTTATCTCCGTCTCAACTGTTGCTGATCTACTCTCGCTCTCACTGCGTTCCGTGAATACTGTTTATGTTTTATGGTACCCTAGTACTTTGAAATAAATATTGGTTTTTCTTTGCACAACTCGAATCTTAAAATGGACTTGATTTGACTCACAATTTCTGCTTAAATAATTATCAGAGACGATGGACACGTGATGTCAATATGACTCTATAGTGTAGCTGAGAGAGTTATCTCCGTCTCAACTGTTGCTGATCTCTGCTCAGCACGTTCCGTGAATACTGATCTTTTTTTGTTTCGATTTATGCTTGCCTGGTACTTTGAAATAATTGTTGGGTAATTTGTCATATTTTTTTTAATGCGTTCACTTTGAACGTATCTAAAATAAATAAATCATATCCAGAACGCCCAATGATTTTTTTTACTTCTCAGATATATGACACTTAGTACACTTTATTCAGACTCGATTAAGAATTTTGGAGAGATCATTTAAATAATATGCAAAGAGATATAATCGTAGTTTATTTTTTGAGTGACATTAAAAAGCAATAAGTACCTACATTGTACATGCGTTTTTATATTATGGAATTTAGACACTTGCCAATAAACTATCATAATTTCATATATTAAACTGTACAAACTCCTAGCACATACTTAAAATGGATTTAATCATTGCCTACAAAAGCCAGTCTATATTCATTTCTACTCAAAATGTTGATCATCTGACCGGAAATAATAATATTAAGTCATAAATTCACAATATACAACTCACTGCGTTCCGTGAATACTGTTCTAATTTTATGCTCGCCTGGTACTTTGATATAAATGTTAATTTTCCTTACCATTAAAATCAGGGTACGACGTATCTAAAATATCAGCCAAAAATAATGCAAATGTTTGTACTATGCGAGGAACCAAACTCATCTTCTTATTTTTTGCTTGCCTAGTACTTTGAAAAATCAAATATAATGCCACCCAAAAATAATACACATATTTGTACTATGAGAGGAACCGAACCCGCAAACATCGAAAAGTAAATCGTTAAATTCTAATGTTTATGGGCGCAGCTAGCCTTGAAAGCTTCCTGAACTTTAGGGGGCGAGTAGAAATGGTACTTTAAAGCCCCGGAAGGATAAAGTGTAATCATTTTATTGATAACATAATCTAACGAATATGCGAAAAAAAAATGATAACGACCTCAAATCAATATTGAAATATTTGTGACGAGTGAAAATTGTATGATATGAAATGATCGGAAAATTTCATGTCATTGTCAGTTCGATGACAGAATCATGCTCTCGCTCTTTCACTTGATTCATTCATTTACCAGTTGAATTCTTCCAACTCGAGTTGGCAGAATTCAACTCCACTATTCAACATGGCCGACATTTTAGGTTCCAGCGTGTGGGGATGAACTCCCTGTCATATAGATTCGATTAACGGGAAAATAATAACGACACGGATGTTTTTAAACTTTTATTGTTTCTAATAATTTACAACATGTAAATAAAACTGTTCAAAGAAGTACTACGTACTTTAACAATTACAACGGATAAGTTTTAATGAACGTTCGGTTAACAATGTGTCATAAATAATAATCTCAGGACAATTCACACAGCGCCATCTAGTCCCAAGTTAAGCTAGCTATAGCTTGTGTTATGGGTACTAGACAACTGACACATATACATAGATTTTTTTTCGTGAATACGTACATATTATACATAGAAAACACACCGACCGATCATACTCATGAATACAAATGTTTGTGCCGTGCGAGGAATCGAACCCGCGACCATCGGAAGTAAAGCGGTGTGTTACCGCTAGACCACCGCGGCCGTCATAAGTGTAGATCGGTTCTCATAGCGACTTACTATATTTTTAACACTCTCTTTTAGATATATAGGCTTTCTGCTTGTTATCTCTTTTAGATATTATATTCATATGCATGTAGTAAAAATCGGTTATTTCAATATTACAAACAGACACTCCAATTTTATTTATATGTATAGATGTATATTTATTGGTTTTTACGCGACTACCGTAATTCATGTCAAAGTAATAAACTATTTATAATTTATTAACAATTAATTTAAATATCTTTAATTATGACTATTTTTTTTAAACCCTGTAAGCTGGTTATCCTACATTTTCTAATTAAAGCTCTATTCTATTCTTGTCTATTCTATTCTATTCTGTCACACAGGTAGTCTGTATACAAAATCATTTGCGTGGGCACTTCATTCTCACCTACATACGACCTCCACGCGGTTACCCCTTGTAATCGTGATAAGTTATTAATTTGTCACAATGTGCTAACTGGCATGACTTCATACGATAACATTCTCCAATGGTGCCCCGCCAGCGTAAACAGTGCAGGCGAGTGCAACATTTCGTAATTATTTAAACAAAACACTTCTGTGTTGCCACTTCATAGGACTAGGGTGTCATAGTTCTTATACTGTAACTAGTTCGCTCGCGTTAATTTATCCCTTTAGGGGTGGAATTTATCAAAATCCTTTCTTAGGGGATGCCTACGTCATAGTAGCTTTATGCATGCAAAGTTTCAGCCCCATCGGTTTAATATTGACAAAGTTTCAAACAAACTTTCATCCCCTTGGGGGTAGAAATAATCAAAATCCTTTCTTAGCAGATGCCTACGTCATAACATCTACCTGCATGCCAAATTTCAGCCCGATCCGTCCAGTGGTTTGGGCTGTGCGTTGATAGATCACTACGTCAGTCACCTTTGAGTAATATATATTTAGATTTCATTTTATTATTAAAAAAAACACTTCTGTGTTGCCATTTCATAGGACTAAGACGTCATGGTATCTTAAACTATAAATTCACATTATTATTTAAAAAAATGCTTCTGTGTTGCCAGTAAGATGTCAACCTGTAATTTCACTGTCTAACCTACACTCTACAACCGAAACAGCTTGCAAACCAAGCTGCTTGACGGCTGAAGTAGGTGATACTGAGGTACATACGCAGACGAGTTTCTATACTTTTAGGCTGGATTTCACCAATCGTAGTATAAACACGTTCAACGAAACGGAGTTCAGCGTGAATTCGAAACAAAGAACGTTGATCTCGTCTTACTTTGAATGGAATTCACCAGCGTTATACAGATCGCGTTTACCAAAATGAATTTTAGATTTTCATTCGTTCACAGTGTTACACGATCATAAAATAATATTTGAAGCAATGGGTAATTTAACTAAAATAATTTTAAGAAAAATTTGTAATTCAATCATGTGATAATTAGGATAAGTTTTTTAGTTTTTAATTTAATAACTACTGTTGACTACAAAATACATAACAAGTTTTACCTTTAAACAAGGTAAAACATTCTTTTATTCAGGATTTTTTTTACCATACTGGCAATTTTTTATTCCCGATATTATATTGTCAAAAACTTGATTGATGACTGTTTGACAACTGACAGGTTCTTTAAATACGTTTAAAGAGTTAACCGTAGGGAATCGGGCGTTCAGAATTTATAAACGTGTTTAGCGAAATTTGTAGTGGTGAAATGCAAAATGAAGCTTTGAAGATAGATAGATAGATAGATAATTGATTTATTGCTAACATGATACAAATAATACAATTTACAATAAGACACAAAACAAGAAATAAATAATAACATGGAAGTTGGCAATAGGAGCTGCCTCAGCTGTTGCTGATATAAGCACAACCTTAGTGAGGTACACATACAGCGCTGGTTACACGTTTAATGTTTTAATGGCGTTCAGTTCGATCTAAACGCGATCAGTTTCTTTGGTGAAATCCAGCCTTAGTAAACCTAATATACTGCACAAACAAATATTAACTACCATCCAAATGCCCCTCAATGATCCTCTTAACGTCATCATACACCCCAAAGAACACAAAACCACCGGCCATGAACGCCGTCATACGGGGCGTTACACCCGCGAACAACCCCCTCAGGCCCGACTCCAGATATATAGCAGCTAGTACCGGCCGGATACGCAACTTGCGGGTGAGGGTGTACTCGTCGGCCAACATGATGCGAGTCTTGGCGAGGTCTAGGGGAGTGGTCACTGCCGCTGCGAAAGCACCAGCTATGCTACCACATACCGCACTCTGCACAATTACATCCATAAATTAGTACATAGTAGTTATTTTTAAACTTAAAATTATCATCTGCGTGGAATCCAGTCATAAATAAATTCAAGCAAAGTTCAGTAGCAGCAACAGTCAATAAGTGTACGGATACCGTGAGTGCTGTGTGTCGCGAACTTTCGTTGAACAATCTAGTGACGGTAGATGAAAAACTGTTGTGACCTATCTACATTGACATCGCTGTTGCTCCAGTCAGCTCGTGACCACGGCTAGTGCAACCTAGTCGAAACGTCGAGAGAGGTAAATTCCTTTATTTGCCATAAAATTAGTTCGTATTAAGACCCGGTTAATAATTTCAATACATAATACATAAGATTTGATCCATTAATTAGTACATAGTACATAAGGGTTCATCCATACTTTTGTACATAAGGAACGATTCATAAAACCGATCGATCCCCTGTTTAATTAATCCCCTAATTCATTAATGTATTGTATAAATGAATAAACTCAGCAGACCTGCAACGTGGTGATCTGTCCGTCATTGTGTCGCCTGACGGTGGACTTGAGCATCTCCCACACGGGCAGCTCTATGAAGCTGAAGGGCAGGTCCCTTGCCACTGTCGATAGGAACCCCCGGTACATGCCCCGGCGGAAACCCTCCGCCTTATACGCCTGAAACATTAAAAGTGATAGTAAAAATAGATTGTCCCTGTGGTTTAGTGGTTAGCACAACGGTGTACTTTCGTTGGTCGCGGGTTCGATTTGTCGGATGATGCAAACAATTGTATTGATGAGTGTTAGAAATATAAGGCAAATTTAATTCCCACAAATGTTACTAGATGGCGTTGTCATAAAAGTAAAACGCGCCAACGTTTCGTTTTGTAAAATATCAATTGATATGTTCTCATGTTTTGTATTCAATCGTAGAATGTTCGAGAATGTTGTACGGTTCTATCCACCTAAGTGAACAACTAATAAACCATATATATATAGACACTAGTAAAGTGTTTGGTTTGTACCCTTAGGACCTCAAGATTTTTCATGGTCCTTCGAGCCGGATATTTTGGAAACCAGCGCTACAGGTTATATAGTGCTTTGAAGAACACTGGTTCAACCAGACCGCACACCCCGAGGCAGTGGGTTGCGTAGTTTCAAGGGCGCTTTGCAGCAGCAACATCAGCTACGTCATTGTGGTGACGTCAGCAGTCCACGAGTGGAAAGGGCAGCAACTGCAGAGCAATCGGGAGGTGCGGAGGAGGGAACTGTTAGTTTCACAATCACGGTACTTACAATGGTTCCGAAAGAGCCGTGTTAGCTTTCCACATCAATATACAGTGGACCCGCGGTAATCCGGCCCACCTTGTAATCCGACATTGTCTATTATTTGTTATTGAATATTACTTTGACAATATACTTCAGAGTGCATATACATACATACATATATAAGATAGAATCTTATCACTGGATCTGTAATTTGTCGGATTACAAGATACTCTTTTGTAAAAAATTCCGGACTATAAGCAGGGGACCCTTAAGCAGCACTCTATAATCCGACAAATACGATGGTCCGACACTGCCCTGCAAAACGTTTGTCGGATAACCTCTGTCCACTGTATATGTATATAATATAAAGAAACATCATTGGATCTATAATTTGTCGGATTACAAGGTACTCTTTTGTAAAAAAATTCGGACTATAAGGGGTCTTAGGCAGTACTCTATAATCCGACAAATTCTATAGTCCGACACTGCCCTGCAAAATGATTGTCGGACTACCGGGGGTCCACTGTATTGTATTAATAAAACAATACCCTTTTGATACATTCCTTTCGTATTACTTCCGATTTTCGGCTAAGAGACAAGGACAGAAATGATCGGTTTGTTACTAATCTTCACCTAAGACGCTCTTTACCTCTTAAAATATAAATAATTGTTTTTTTTTTAATTATCCTTAGACCCACTCCGTAACAGAAACAACTTTCTGCGAAATAACTTCTCCGCAGAAGGTGAGAACTGCCAGCCACGACCCCTCGCTCCTAACCATTGTCCGAACTAAATTCGGCAGCGAGAGGTCGGCCCCCACTTCCGCGACAACACTTAAACAACAGGACCAACCTATCTCAACCAATGATGCAAACAATTGTATTAATGAGTATAACTGTTTTTATTCTCTTTTTTATTATTTCTAAATTTGAGCTTTGACCGCAATCTCACCTGATGTTAAACGATGATGCAGTCTAATCTGTTACAAGCTCAAATAGTGCGTATTCACTGTTGAAAGATCCAATGTTGTAAGAGGAAAATGCAGGAAAAGCAATCGCTGGGAGAGTGTTCCACTCCTTAGACGCTCGCATAAGGAATGATATTTTTATTTATTTATTTATTAAAACTTTAATGCACAGATACACAAATAAAGGTACACATGACGAACTTAACACCTAGGACAGGGATGTTAGGAGCTCCGTAACCGTAACCAAAACTATCGGATATCCGATATAAAAATATATTCGTAACCGTAGCCGAATCTGAAATAAAAGTTACTGATAATATCGGATAGGGGCGAAGCGTAATTGAGACACGTTATGTAACCATTTTATTAGCTATTTGTATTTTATTTTTGAAATTCCTTAAAAGATTAATATCCGTAACCGAAATTATCCTAAACTAACGGATAATCCTAAATAATTTCATATCCGTATCCGTATCCGTATCCGATATAATAATCGTTCCTATATCAGAAACCTATCCGTATCCGAAATTTCATATCCATACCATCCCGGCTATCTGTGATAGTCCGACTCTGAGATAGATAGAGACTGATAGATCCTGAGAAAGGACATAGGCTACTTTTTAATGCGAAAAAAGGGTTGTAAGGGGTTGAAAGGGGAGATGAAAGGTTGTATGGAAGTATCGTCATTTTTAAAGCTAGAACGATGAAACTTTTTCGTGTTTGGGTTAGATTATTGCATATTTTATCTCTATTTGGTCAAGGTTACTAAAACACGCGGACGAAGTCGCGGGCACAGCTAGTTTTTATATATCATCATTACATAGTATAAAACAAAGTCGCTGTCTGTCCGTCCCTATAATAATAATAATAATAATCTCAGGACAATTCACACAGCGCTATCTAGTCCCAAGTTAAGCTAGCTAAAGCTTATGTTATGGGTACTAGATGACAGATACAAATACATAGATTTCTTTTTTCCTAAATACATACATATTATACATAGAAAACACCCAGACCGATACAAACAATCATACTCATGTATACAAATGTTTGTGCCGTGCGAGGAATCGAACCCGACCATCGGACGTAAAGCGGTGTGCTAGACCGCTAGACCACCGAGGTCGTCCCTATGTATGCTTAAATCTTTAAAACTACGCAACGGATTTTGAAACGGTTTGTTTAATAGACAGAGTGATTCAAGAGGAAGGTTTATATATATATTACATGTACACCCGTGCGAAGCCGGGGCGAGTAGCTAGTATATTATAAAAATCTATGGTACATACCTCTAGTAGTATAGAGATGCTGCTTCGTGCTTTGTCACCTACATACGTCTGCTTCCGTTGCTTCGCTATTTCTGTAGGCACTCGTATAACACACGCCAGCTGTGACAAACAAACATTGTATATATATATATCAATATACATTTTTTATGGATGATAATGGAATGGTGCACCTGCCTGCGGTAACGGTTTACGCTGGCGGGGCAGTGGAGAATGATAAGATGAGCATGAAGTCTGGTAGCCCATCGTGGTAAATGGCAATTTACCGCGTGGAATTTAACTTTATTATTCTAAAATAAAAGATTTTTTCTAAAATAAAAGTTACTTAAATTACTCCTTATTATATCAGCTACCTGCCAAAAATGTCCCGTCAAAATCGGTCCAGCCCTTTCAGAGATTAGCCGAAACAAACAGACAGATAGACAAAAATTGTAGAAAATGTTATTTTGGAGTATGTACCGTATTTATATTCATATGCAAGTAGTAAAAAACGGTTATTTCAATATTACAAACAGACACTCCAATTTTATTTATATGTATTCATGTATAGATTAAAAAACAGTACAAAATAACTCACCACTTCCCCTACACTGGCCGCCAACATATGCACCAGTGGGGTGTACTGTGTTGGGACGTGGGGTTGCACTAGCTTCTTGGTTGTCTCGTAGGAAACAAAGAAAAGTGCTGTCGTGGGCATCGAACTCGTAGCCACTGTGAGAAGACCTGTTGATATTGTTTCCACATCAATCAAATTCAAATTTCAAATTCAAAAATCATTTATTCATGTAGGACATTTTAGTCGCTCATGAACGTCAAGTTTTTACATTAAAATTTTTTTATCTACCGTCCAGTTCGGTATATAGATCCAATTGAGAACTAGCAAGAAACTCAATTGAATTACTTTTTTTTTAAAGCCACTTTATTTACAATGTATAGGTATTTATATAGGTGTCTATGTCTAACATTAAATGAAAATCCCGTGCATGAACAACTATTGCCATGCACGCTCGTCATTCATCGTTTAGTGAGTAGGCTTTGCTCAGTAAATATGATTTGACAGATGTTTTGAATTTATCTAAGGGTAATTCCAGTATATATAGAATGGTGTGCCCGCCTGCGCTGGCGGGGCACCAGTGGAGGATGATAAGATGAGCATGAGGTCAGTAGGTCTACCACGAAAGTTACTGCCGATTATCGCGTAACGAAACGAAAGACGACCGAAATACTAGTTTAAAGGAACCATGAAGTTTCTTCGGAATAAGATATTTCGGACGGGTACCATAGACTATGATCGTGAACGAATGAAAGATGAGAAGTCTTTTATTATACACTCTTAAATTAGGAAAAAAATAAAGTGGTATACTCCGGATAAAATAAAATGTACAGTCGTTTATATTTAAATGTATTGAAATTATAAACTTCTAAAATTAGTAGTATTTTATGTCATAAGAAAACGTCAAACCTCTATTTACATTTGAATTTTTGTTTTTATTTTTTTATATATAAACTTAAGAATTATCATCACAAGTGTTTTTAAATAATTTTTTATTGCTAAATTTGTTCGTTAAACATCAATGAAAATGAACATCTAATAACTTTGATTTTATTTATTAGTTTCTATTTATGACAAGCGCTAACAAATGTATTTATGCATTTAGATTAGATGAGTAATCCCACTGTGGAACAAGTGCATACACTCCTAACATTCCTAGCAGAGCACCAGGAGTTAGCTCGTGGCCACTGTAGAAATGCAGAAGGGCGAACAAGATCCACCCAATTATGGGTTCGTCTTACAGACGAACTCAATGCATTGGGTGGATGCACTAAAACTGTAAAGCAGTGGCAGAAGGTAAGCACTTTTCTTGATATTTTAGTACGTGATATGCATTTAAAATGTTAAATAATTTTGTTATTAAATAAATTTTTCCAATACTGATACTTTATAAATTTTAGGTATGGGCTGACAAAAAATATCTAACTAAAAAAGCTGCTACTGCTGCTCGAAGGTCTGCCACAGCCACTGGGGTAGGGCCATCATCTGCTGAGCCTTTAAACCCAATACAGTGCAGAATATTGGGTATTATGGGAGAGGGCTTTGGAGAACCTCAGTCGGATGCACATGTTCCTGCATTTCCAGAGGTATGTTGTAAAACCATTACTAAAATAGTGCTAACTGTTATCTCTAGACATATATAACATAATGGATGTCATCAAAATACATGGTGACTTCCATAGTATTCCTCATGCATTACCATTCCTTTTATTTCTGTATATAAGGTACCTAAATAGCCTTTTCCCACCTTTCAAACTGAAATACAGCTATGCAAGAACAGCTGCTTCATAGCAGAAATATGAGTTGAGACAGAGTTGGTACCTTTTTATATATACACAGTTTTTCAATGTTAACTAAGAAGTAAAGATAAGACAGTACTAATAAATAACACTTACTTATACCTTATTATTGATTAAAAAATTTATATCATAATAAATTATTGTTATATGAAAATATTTCTGTAAATATTAAGATTATTAGTAATGGGGGCTTATAGTCCTAATCACTAGTATATTCCTAGACATCAAGTCTGTTATTAGTACCAATCATGCATACCGAAAACAATAATGATAATAATTATTTAAAAAAAAACTTTTTTAGAACTTCAACGGCTACTACACGTCCAGAGCGACGAGGCCGTCGAGCAGACGCCATTGGACCTCGCAGTGTACGCAGGCGTTTGTTCGAAATGGAGGAGCGGCGAATCGCAGCGGAGGATCGACGGGTGGTAGAGTCAGGGCTGATTCGCCAATCACTCCAGGAATTAAATGTATTAAGGGATGGATTGGAGGGTCTACAAATAGAATTAAGACGACTGAATATGAATGAATAATTTTGTTTTTTTTTTTAAATTTGACATGATTAATGTTGATTTGTGTTAGTTTGTTGATTTGTTAAATAATGAGTATAAAAAAAGTTACTTAGCTTTAGATATATCATTGTTGATTTGTTGAATTCTGTTAGTTTGTTGATTTGTTAAATAATGAGTATAAAAAAAGTTACTTAGCTTTAGATATATCATTGTTGATTTGTTGAATTCTGTTAGTTTGTTGATTTGTTAAATAATGAGTATAAAAAAAGTTACTTAGCTTTAGATATATCATTGTTGATTTGTTGAATTACGTTAGTTTGTTGATTTGTTAAATAATGAGTATAAAAAAGTTACTTAGCTTTAGATATATCATTGTTGATTTGTTGAATTATGTTAGTTTGTTGATTTGTTAAATAATGAGTATAAAAATGTTACTTAGCTTTATATAAGTATTAACAAAGACACAAAGTACTAAACTACAGTTTTTTACTGGTCATTAATTTAATGCCCCTTGAACTACACTACTTAGTTTGCATATACTTATACAACATTTTTCTGAATGAATGTTTAATCATTTATAATTAGTGTTATTTTAAAAAATGTTTAATATACAATTTTGATTTTACTTTTATCTATATATATATATACCTACATATATGAGATGATAAAATAAAAATATTTTATTGTAAAAAGTTTTTAATTTTGTAAATAAGTAATGCCTTAACTTCTAATAGAATAGAATAGAAAATCATTTATTCAAATAAACTTATTATATTGCTGTCATCTATGAATTCATCTATCCTATAATAGGCTTTTTTACATAACATTTGTTTAATATCAATTTTAACAGCATTTAGGTAAAATTAGTATATTTTTATTGCATAAGTTTCTACTTGTACAGTCTTTAAGTTTCTTGAAACTATCTAAGTTTTTCCTTGTATACATAATATTTCATAAATGTACTGTGAGGCAACGGTGAGGATATTTGATTCTTTAAAGCCTTGATATAATGACTATCTCGAACCCATACCATAAATAGAACGTATGGCTCTCTTCTAATCTTTATATACCTGAAAGAAAAGAAAACATACTAACTGTGAGACTTGGAATTTGATAAATGCACTTGATAGCTTATAGACTATTCAATATAATATCAGCTAATAATATTTAACATAAAAAATACTGAAATACAATCTATAATCATCTTTTATGACATCCTAATAATGAAAAGGAATGACAAAACATTGTATTCTTGTTTGTTCACCAATTTTATATGTAGTACAACTACAAAGTTAACAATTACGATTTATTTACCCAGCAAATAAGTTGTTTCTCTTTGAAGACTCTCCAAATGATCTTTGATCTCGTTATGCTCCCAAATGAATGCATCATGAGTGGCACCACCATAAGAGGCGTCAATATTCATAATTATTAAATTACTGTCAGCAATCTAAAAAATAGGACAAACATTATAAAGATATTTGCAGATAGTGACAAATATGAATAACTTGAGAATTATTTATACACTATGCAAATTTTACATAAAATACTGTACTTACAACTTGAACATTTAAAGAGTGGTAATGTTTTCTATTGAAAAATCTCTCTTCATTGACTGTTGGCCGGATTATAGCTACATGGGTGCTGTCGATACATCCTATAACACCAGGGATACCATACTGTGTAGCAAAACTGAAAAAGAAATATAAACTACTGATTATTTAAACATCAATTAACTTATGCTGATTCCTGAAATTAACAACAATATCATTTATAAATTTACAGCTACAAATAGTTGACTGAACTAAATTAATAGTATATGTATTATAAATCGACAAAGAGCATAAAATTCTATAAAGTTAAATCTTAATCATATTTAATATACATAAACTTACTTTCTCTTCAATATGTTCCTGTTTTCCCTGGATTGAGGAAATCTTATAAATTTCCTTAGTATTTAGGGCATCTGTTACATCCCTGATGCAGTTTGAGACAGACTGCTGAGCCATAGTGGTGTCTAAATTTTGTCCGACTGCACCCTGGTAGCTACCACTGGCATAAAAATTTAATGCAGTGAGAATCTGAAAAAAAATAGATATGGGAATACTAAATAATAGGTAAATACTAAATTTTTTCATCTACAAAATGTACATAAGTTCTTACTTTGGTTATTGGATCGATTGCTCAACTATTTTTAGGCAGGGGTAATAATCGTACCACATACTGACAAAGATTCTCGAAGACTTCCCGACTGAGTCTGTATTTAGATACAAACTCGAAGTCGGGAATGGATCTTTGGAGGTACCTAGTACGCATTTTTCTTTTAAACCTGCGTCTTTCAATTTCTTCTTCATTGAGGGCTTCTAAAATTCCAGCCAATCTTGGCATAATGAAACTAAATCAAAATAAAGTAATGCTAAGTTGTAGGTTACATTGAACACAATAATATTTAAAAACACTAATTAGTTTAACTTTTATCACATTATTCACTGTAACACATTAACTGAATTATTAATTAATCACTTTTTTATATATTACAGCACTTATATACGTAAAATCCATACTTACGAAAGTAAAAAGTTAACTATTTAGGTTTCGTCTACTTCGCACTTTAAATCACGATAAACGTGCTGTCAAAACGTCATAATCACGTACGAACGGATACTTCATGGTACGATTTGGAACGATCGAAACGATATTCTCCGTTTTCGGGCACGATTTCGGAATGAACGTTTTTCATGGTACGAATCACACGAAATATCGATCCGAAATTTCGGAATTGCACTTCGTGGTAGACCTACAGGTCAGTTAGCACATCGTGACAGATTCACCAGGAAACCATCATGATGGCTTCCAGGGGGAACCGCATCAACCTGACATGTTACAATGGGGACACTAGACCCCTTTACTAATAATCCCCCTCCTGGCAGAAAAGTGCTGTTTTTTTTTGTGAATGATTATGTAATGGTGCACCCGCCTGCGCTAACGGTTTACGCTGGCGGTGCACCAGTGGAGGATGATAAGATGAGCATGAGGTCAGGTCAGTTAGCTCATCATGACAAATTCACCTAGAATTCATCACGATGGTTTCCAGGGGGAACCGCGTGGAGGTCGACCTAACATGGTACATTGCTAGCAATGGAAGTTACTAGTTCCTATTACTAACAATCCCCTTTCCCCCTAAGAAAGTACTGTTGTGGGCATCGAACTTGTAGCCACTGTGAGACCTGTTGAAATTGTCATTATTATACGCCATTCCTTAGTCGTAGACAGAGGTATCAAATGTCGATGTTGTGGTGAACATAACATAACTCATGTATTTCCCAGATTTAACTCTTTATATTTGAATACAACGCGAGACCTTAAAGTTATAAAGCATAAGGTATATTTTTATCTGAAACGTATTTCATTAAATGCAGAAAAAATCTAATAACGCCATCTAGTGCGTAATAGACAACTGCAAAAATAAATTTTAAATTGAAATGAACTGGGGACTGGTCTGTTCGGGTTACGACACTGATTGGACCATTTGCTTTTGCAATAGCACATGCAGGTGGTCACTCTATTCTCCCAATTTTGAATTTAAAAATGAATCTGTATTATCTATAAGCTATATTACTGTAAAGTTTAATTAAAAACCATTCAGTAGATTTTGCGTGAAACATAACAAACATCCGTCCATGCTCTACATTCATCTTCGCGTTTATAATTTTACTAAGATTTACTATTTAGACTCTAATGAATTAGTACTAGTTGGTAGTTTGTATTCACACATTTAAACTTAACATATTTAAAAGAGCAACACGCAGCTTTCTCGTTATTGCAAGAGCAATATCATATGCTGGTGGTCACTCTATTCTCACAAATTTGAATTTAAATGAATCTGTATTATTGTAAACATGTACAATATTTATTTGAAAAGAATACGAGCTGAGTTTCTTGTCAGTTCCTCTCATCTTGAAATCATTCGGAACTGACTGTAGATTTGACATATCATAAGAGTCTGTAATAGACCTACATGAATGAAGATATTTTGAATTTGAATGATATAGAAGTTTTCAACGGGGAAGAAATTTTCCAGAAGTTTGCAACCAAGGGGAAACTAGTCACATTGATCTGTTGCTGGCTCATGGCATACATACCACGATAAACTCCTCTAAAACCACCCGCCTTCTGGAAGCCCTGTTCACTTTGCAGACGGGTTTTCAGCGTGTCCAATGGATAGAGTGCGACATCCACGGACACACCTGCTATGGCTCCACCCTGTAGGATGTAATAATAATAATTCCGGACATTTCACACAGCGCCTCCTAGTCCAGTACTAATCGGCTTGTATTATGGATACTAGACAACTCATAGACATACTATGATATATATTGTGGTAATACTAGCTGTCCCGGCAAACATTGTTTTACATAATTTATATTATATACACAGGTTTAGCTAGCTTAACTTGGGTCTAGATGGCGCTGTGTGAATTGTTCTGTAAAAATAAAAAAAAATTTAGTAATGCTCAGTAGCTAATGGTTGTAATGTTATAAAACCTATGCACTTCCTTGATCAATGGACTACCCAACACTAAAAATTTCAAAATTGGATTGGAATCGGAAGAGACTAAGTATGGCCATTCAAAGAGGCAACACTGCCCGTATCTTGGATATGCTGCCTCGATGTGTCGCGTTGGATTAAATTGGCTGTTTTTGTGTGAATGTTTACATATGTAATTATTTATTTATAATACGTTAATTCATTTTGTTAGTGTTTTTTCAATGATAACCTTAAATTTTAACCCTACTTTTGAAAATATACATATTTTAAATTTCATACCAGTAATGGTGCTAGGTAAGTAGATTTCTGTGTTCTGCCACGTCTGTCTGCAGCTTCCATCGTTATTACGTTTATTTATTAAGATTTTAAATACTTTTTTCTCAGTCAAATATTACAGTTAAGTTTTCTTCGTAAATTCATGGATACTATCTCCAATTTCTACAGTTCATGTAATCAGAAAGTTTCACTTGTACTTGTACTAGAAACTTATGTATATTATAATATACAAGAAAGTAATTTTATTCTATAAATTCTTAATTTATCGATAACAGAAATAAATTGTATAACAAAGTAAACAATTAATTTACCATGTGAGATTGACATTGACATTCATGACAGTAATATTTGACAATGACAACTAACAGCCATAGACAAGACATAAATGTAACTACCAGAATTAAAATAGAGTCGGTTAACAGCTTTATATGTGTAAGAAATATTAGAGGAAACTAAATTAACGTATGCAATCAAATACATTTTATTTTCTTACATTATGTTATTGGTATAGTACGAACCGATCATTACAATGTCGAGATGAGTAACAACCGGCCTATAGTTTATTTTATACAACAAGCTTTATAGCAGTATATATTATTACATATGACAATTAAAAAAATTAATCATGAATAATTTAAGATTAATATTAAACAGGATGTCTTTTATAATTCATCCCATTCTTTTCCTTTTTATCTTTATTATATTTATATACATAGACACAATAATATTGTGACAAATCTGTTATTATTACTTTGTGTAAGATTTCAACACGCAACAAATATATTTACACGCATTAGAAATCACGAGTGTAGTTTATCCTTACGAATATTATAAATGAGACAGTAACTCTCTGCCTGTCTGTCTGTCTGCCTCGCTTTCACGCTAAAACTACTGACATAGTCTACTTTTTAATCTGAAATAAGGGTTGTAAGTGGTTGAAAGGGGATGAAAGGTTATATGAAAGTATTGACAATTTATGTAGACGAAGTCGCGGGCACTTCTAGTAATAAATAAGCTCAGAATAAGACAGAAATAATAAAATGTTTGTTACTTAGCAACTGTTGACACTGAGTTTGTCATTGTTCAGAATAGGATCGTATTTATTGGTGCAGATTTTTTTTATAATTTTATTGAAAGTACCATGCCAAAAGTCCCTCCAGTGAAGAATCCCCATGATGGTATACCATACCATAATGTACAGCAGGGCAATGACCCCGGTTGCTATCAATTGCACAGGTGGGTATTTATCAAAGTATTTGTAGCAATTTAACACTGTGCTGAGTTTTGGAATCAATAATATTAAAATTAGTGGAATATACATATATATATTGACATTGTTTATGCATTTGACATATGTTATATATATGTACTAGCTGTTCCGGCGTCCGGGAGTGTTGCCATATCTGGCTTCATTAATTATACCATGTAACCCGACTCAAAGAAATCTTTAAACGAGAACCATAGAGTATAAATTTAATAATACGTAGTTTGTACGAAATATCGTGTGTCAGGTTAGAGCAGTCGAGAACAAGATGTTTTATTTTATATCACACTAGCTGTATCCGTGACTACGTCCGCGTAGATATTAACTTTATTTTTCTAAAGTAAAAGTAGTCTAAGTTACTTCTTATTACATCAGCTATCTGCCAAAAAAAGTCTGGTCAAAATCGGTCCAGCCATTTCAGAAATTAACCGGAACAAACAGACTGACAGACAGACAAAAATTGTAAAAAATGTTATTTTGGTGTATGCACCGTATTTATATTCATATGCATGTAGTCAAAATTGCTTATTTCAATATTACAAACAGACACTCCAATTTTATTTATATGTATTAATTTTATCTTCAACAGACCGTCGCAATGTCGTCTCAAGTTTCCAATTACGAAACGACCTATACACAAATGCGAGAGTCCAAAACGTGAATACACTATGGTCCCGCAGAGTAGCGGCTGGCGCAATCTGCTGGTACCCAAAACCAAACCAAATTACTATCCAGCTATTATGCACAAAAAGGAATATGAACGACTTAAAAAGCAGGCTAAGGTATGTTAAAACTGATTATACGGTTATATTGCCAATTTTTTAAAAGAGCAACACACAAGTTTCTTGCTTGTTCTTCTTTTTTTTCGGAGTACTCTAATGCTGCTGGTCGCAGCTGGCCTTCACAGCTTCACCGGACGATAGGGGGCGAGTGTTGATGGCACTCCAAACCAAAGGAAGGACTTATGGAGCGGCTGAAGGCCAACTCTCGCCTGACGGGTACGACTTTAGTCTGAGGGCACCGCTAAGGGTTCGAACCTCGGCTCAGGCCGTCGTAATATCGATCCCCGTTTGAATTGGACGGGGGATCGATAGGAGGGGGCCGTTCTTCTTGTGATGAGACAGTTTTCCGAATGAGCGGTAGATTAAAAAATGTGATGACTATTCAAAAGTGCTTAAATTTAATTTTATTTCTTTGGATGTTTTGTGTTAAGTTATTAAATATTTCTTACTAGCTGTGCCCGCGACTCCGTTCGTAAGGAATAGAGGATGAATGAGGAATTTCCATTTCATCCCCTATTTTTTTTACAAACGGATAATATTCGTACAAACTTTGAATGTCATATTGATAGTTAAAAGCTTAAAAATAAGTTTAAAGCTTCTAGCTTTAAAAATTATGATACATCCATAGAACGATTCATCCCCTTTCAATCCCTTACAACCCTTTCTTTGCATTAAAAGTAGCCTATGTCCTTTCTCAGGGTCTAGACTATCTGTATACCAAATTTCATTTAAATCGGTGCAGTAGTTTTGGTGTGAAAGCGAGACACACAGACAGACAGAGTTACTTTCGCATTTATGACATTAAATAAGGAATAAGGATTAGAAAGGATAAGGAGTAAGGAAGTAAGGATTTATATATTGAGTCGCGAGTAGTTAGTTTGTTATATAAGATCCGCTTTGTAATACCAATATTTTCATTCATTCATTCATTCATTAAAGTCGCCGTCGGTTAGTTAATGTGTAACTTGATGTTTTTGTAGATTGTGACTCAAGAGGAACAAGTACAAGCTATGCACGCCCAAGAAGCTGCAATGCAGAAGGCAGCGAAGGACTCAGAGGAGAGGAAGAGGCGCTTGAAGGAGAAACTCCTGCCGCAGCCAGGAGCTGAAGCAGCCACCGGCACCGCAGACCCCGAGTTGGAAGGACCTGACCAGGCCGCGCATACGCTGTCCAGAGCAGAGAGTGAATCTTCTTTTTATATCATACTAGCTACTCGCCCCAGCTTCGCCTGGGTTTATCTGCGTGTATTATACATATAATCCTCTTGAATCACTCTATCTATTAAAGAAAACCCCTTCAAAATCCGTTGCGTAGTTTTAAAGATTTAAGCACACATAGGGACAGACAGCGACAGCGACAGCGACTTTGTTTTATACTATGTGTAAGAAGCACTAATTATGATGGACGACTGACGCTTTGAAGCCGGCTACCGCAAGGGAAACCCCAAGTAGCGCCCGTGACTTGTGACACGGGTGTAGGTTTAAAAGGCCCTTTTAGAATGCATTAACACTCACCTTCACTACTTGCAGCTCCCCCCAGGCCCAACTAAGACCGGGATAAACCCATTTCTAATACAATTCACTTTAATATCCAAAACACAACTGGTACACTCTGCGCTCGTCGACTGAATGCCGCGGCTCATGCAACGAAAGAGGATTATTCAACTACCGACCTCCGTATTTATAGACCAAAGTCAGTGTAGTAGGTCTATAAATACTAGATGGCGCTATTTACAATATTCGTAATAATCTTTACATTGGTTACTTCATTAGTACTAAAAACAAACTACCTTCTTTTAATATATTTTTAAAATATCGGATTTTTTCTACAATAATGATGCGAATTCTAATATATGTAATGTTCATACTGCCTGCCTAGGTTCTCTGGTGAAAATACAACGCAGGGTTTTTCAAGAAGGGTACATTAAGGTTTCTTAAGGGTCGGTAACGCGTGACACCCCTGGTGTTTCAGGCGTCCATAGACTACGGTAACCGTTTCCCATCAGATGGGCTGTGTATTTGTTTGTCACCTACACAGTATATAAGATCATATCGTTTACCATATGCTTGTTGGTCTAGTATAAAAAAACATATTTTGTTACTGAATGAATTGAATTTGACGACCTCGGTGATCTAGCGGTCTAGCACACCGCTTTACGACCGATGGTCGCGGGTTCGATTCCTCGCACGGCACAAACATTATGTAGATTTAGCCCAGTGCCCCACAAAATCGCGATCCGCCCCTGAACTTTACAGTAATAAAAGCTTATGCATCAGAATAACACATAGGTTATATTTTTTATTGATGTTTAACACAGGTGAAACCTATTTATATATTACTGTAAAGTCTCATTGAAGTCTTTAGTACTTTAGGCGTGATAGAGTAACAAACGTCCATACTTACAAACTTTTGCGTTTATTATACTAATAGGATTAGAATAGAATAGAAAATCATTTATTCAAATAAACTTAATTTAAGCACTTTTGAATAGTCATAACAATTTGTTTTTTATCTACCACTCGTTCGGAAAGCTGTCTCATCACAAGAAGAACGAGCAAGAAACTTGTGTGTTGCTCTTTTAAATAATCCTTGTAAGTTTACATTTACAAGTCGAAACGTGTGAATACAAACTACCAACAAGCACTAATTTTTGGGTCAAATATAAATGTACAATAAGATTAAATCAGTCGTAGTGATAAGAGCAGACCAGTCCCTACAAGCAGCACTCGTTCACGAGTATGACGGATGAGCCAGCCATCACTGCGCTCGACCATATTTTATGGATTCTTTTCTGATGTTCAGTGCTGCGCGCAGACAACATGCAGGGTCCACGTCTCTGCAATCGCATCATTCTAGCGTCCAAGTGTCACGCCATCCGCGACGCCCAGATTGCTGAGAAGGAGCTCATCAAGAAGGAACTTGACGAGGAGGAGAGAAGGTGAGCGTTACAGAAGAATATAGTCTACTTCTGATACTATTAGTCTACTTTATTAATTTTATCTTCTTATTTTTAGCTAACTACACCCCCGACTTCGCCCGCGTGGAATATAACTTTATTTTTTAAAATAAAAGTAGCCTAAGTTACTCTTTATTACGTCAGCTACCTGCCAATAAAAGTCCCGTCAAAATCGGTCCAGCCATTTCAGAGATTAGCCGGAACAAGCAGACAAACAAAAATTATAAAAAATATTACTTGTATTTATATTCATGTGCATGTAGTAAAAAACCTGTTATTTCAATATTACAAACAGACACTCCAAATATTATTTATATGTATAGATTTTATCTTACATAAAACTAGCTGAACCGTGCAATTTCGACTGCGTCACATTTCCCTCGTTTTTGCTAGATTTCATATTATATTGGTCATAGCGTGGTGGTAGATGATATAACTAATAGCTTTCCTCGATAAATGGGCTATCCAACACTAAGAGAATTTTCAAAATCGGTTCAGCAGATCCAGAGATACCTATCTACACATTTAGTGCGCATTAGCACAAAAAAATCTGTTTGTAATAAGAAATAACTTTGTAAATTTTATTTGTATTAATTCAACGCGGTCGAAATCACGCGTAACGTCTAGTCATCCATAAAAACCTTAAATTTAACCTTATTATAATCATGATATGGTCCATTTGAGATTGGACGCGATAATGGAAGAGAACCGCGTGTCTGCTGTGCAGCGCGCTGAAGATGAAGAGGAGCGGCGGCACAGGCTCCGGCTGCAGAACCTCGCCGCGCTCAAGGAACAGATCCACGCCCATGAGACTGCCAAGGTCCGACCCATGTAGATTACAGACTTACAGTTATCACTATTTCTATTCCTAAGGAGTGACGCACAAAATGGCGGCCTATGAATAGAATAAAGTGGAATAGGGTGGAATAGGGACGAAAAGAGTGGAATTGAGGGGATTAGAGTGGAATAGAGGGGATTAGAGTGGAATAGAGGGGATTAGAGTGGAATAGAGTGGAATAGAGTGGAATACAGTGGAATTGGGTGGAATAGAGTGGATTAGGATCGATTAGAGTGGAATAGGGTGGAATTGGGTGGAATAGGGTGGATTAGAGTGGAATAGGGTGGAATTGGGTGGAATACAGTGGAATACAGTGGAATTGGGTGAAATAGGGACGAAAAGAGTGGAATTGAGTGGAATAGGGTGGAATTGGGTGGAATAGGGTGGATTAGAGTGGAATAGAGTGGAATTGGGTGGAATTCAGTGGAATAGGATGGAATAACAAACAACCCAAATAAAAAAATAACTTCTTTCTAAATTTAGTAAGTTTTAAAAAAATGTTATTTAATTGTATTCAGATAATGGAAGCGGAACGTATCGAAGAAGAGAGTATCCGAGTGAACCAGGCGAACATAGCGATGCAGATTGACGAGGCGCAGAAACTGAAGGAGAAACATGGGAGACAGACCAAGCTTAAGGAGATACTGGACCAGGGTACGATATTGACTCGTTACTACACATTTTTCTGTTATGGATGATAATGAAATGGTGCACCCGCCTGCGCTAACCCTATGTATGCTTAAATCTTTAAAAATACGCAACGATTTTGAAGCGGTTTATTTAATAGATAGAGTGATTCAAGAGGAAGGTTTATATGTCGCCCGAGCGAGGCGGGGCGAGTAGATAGTTGACAATAAGGATTTAATATAATTTTAATTTTTGTTCAGGTAATGCTGAACTGCTATACTACAAGCAGCTGCAGAATGAGGAAGAAAGAATTATGGATCTTCGAATCGAGAACTTCCTGAAACAGAAACAGCAGAGAGAGACGAAGGCCAGGGCCGAGGCGGAAGCTGTCAAAGCAGCTAAGCAGAAGGGAATCGAGCACATCGCTAAAGCTCAAAAGGTAATAAAAACTTCACTTATGTACCCACTCTTCATATAATTATATTTGACGACCTCGGTGGTCAAGCGGTCTAGCACACCGCTTTACGACCGATCGCAGGTTCAATTCCTCGCACGGCACAAACATTTGTATTCATGAGTATGATTATTGGTATCGGTCTGGGTGTTTTGTAATATGTATGTATTTACAAAAAAATATCGATGTATATGTATCAGTTATCTAGTACCCATAACACAAGCTGTAGCTAGCTTAACTTGGGACTAGATGGCGCTGTGTGAATTGTCCTGAGATTATTATTATTATTATTCTTATCTCTCATTCTCTCAGCTTTTGCTGGTTTTTTTTCCACACTTACGGACAGAAATCAAGTAAGTGCAGTGTGTGGGTGTGCGCATGTGTGCGTGCGTATGAGTTCGTGTGTGTATGTGTGAGTGTGTGTGTACTCATTGTGTGACTGGTGTGACTAGTGTTATTATTATTATTCCTGCAAATATTATTATTATTATTATATAAACTTTGATAAAACAAAAACAACAAGATCTTACTATGTAATATTATATTATCTGTGATCTTACTTAATATTATAAATGTGAAAGTAAGGATGTTTGTTACACTTTCACGCAAAAACTACTGAACCGATCATCATGAGATTTTGTACACATGTTCTTGGAGGTGTTTCATCACATGTGAACTAGCAAGAAACTTGTGTGTTGCTCTTTTAAATAATCCTTGTAAGTTCACATTTTACAAGTCGAAACGTGTGAATACAAACTACCAACCAGCACTAATGTATTTAGGCTCAAATATAAATATACAATAAGATTAATACATACATAATATACATAGAAAATACCCAGACTCTTATCTGTCGATCTGTTACAGGCAGAACAAGAGCTGAAAGAAGAATTGGAACGTATCCGCAACTTGAAGATCCAGGAGGACGTAGAGAGGAAGTACAGACGGCGGGAGAGGGAGGCTGCCATCAAGAGGAACAAGGAGATTAAGCAGCTCCACGAGGCCAGGGTCCAGCAGGTATACGCTACAGTTTTTATCTCAGGACAATTCACACAGCGCCATCTAGGCCCAAGCTAAGCAGAGCTTGTGTTATGGTACTGGACAACTGATGCAAATACTTAATATGTACGTACATTAGGAGGGAAGGGAATGTGGACTGATGATCTTATTACTAGCAATGTACCATGTCAGGTTGAACTCCACGCGGTTCCCTGGAAACCATCGTGATAAATTCCTGGTGTATTTGTCACGATGTGCTATCTGACCTGACCTCATGTTCATCTTATCATCCTCCACTGGTGCCCCGCCAGCGTAAACCGTTAGCGCAGGCGGGTGCACCATTACATTATCATCCATACAAAAAAAATCATGATATGTCAAACCACAGTCATTTCAGAGTGCTTTCGAGCCAAGCAGAACTGACAAAAAAAACTGCGCTGTTATTCTTTTCCTATATACTATGCTAATAATAATAATCTCAGGACAATTCACACAGCGCCATCTAGACCCAAGTTAAGCTAGCTAAATCTCGTGTTATGGGTATTAGATAACTGATATGTATACATAGATAATTTTTTTTCGTAAATACATACATATTATACATAGAAAACACCCAGACCGAAACAAACAATCATACTCGAGCATACAAATGTTTTTGCCGTACGAGGCATCGAACCCGCGACCATCGGACGTAAAGCGGTGAGCTAAACCGCTAGACCACCGAAGTCATCACATTGTTATTAAACTACAGTTTTATCCACACAGATCAAAGATATACATCGTTTGATTGCGAGAGAAATTGCCAAAGATGAACAAAGTTTCAACAACGCGGCGCGGCAAAACGAAGAGTTCATCCAGAAGGAGAAAGCGGTAAGCATGCTTTACAGGTTTTGAAACTATTCCAATGCTGTTGGCCGCAGCTGGCCTTTACAGCTTCACCGGACGATAGGGGGCGAGTGCAGATGGCACTCCAAACCAAAGGAAGGACTTATGGAGCGGCTGAAGGACAACTCCCGCCTGACGGATACGACGCCAGTCTGAGGGCACCGCTAGGGGTTCGAACCTCGGCTCAGGCTGTCATAATTTCGATCCCCGTTTGAATTGGACGGGGGATCAATCGGAGGGGAAAAGGGGTTTGGTGCCCTATGACAATGCGACTGTAGTCTGATGGCACCGGCTAGGGATTAGAGCCTCTGCTCGGGCCGTCGTAAGTTCGATTCTCATTTGAATTGGACAGAGGATCGATCATAAATTTATAGCAAATAATAAATAAGATTTAGTAAAGAAAAATAATAAATACATTATTTTCAGTTGGACGACAAACGAAAGGCTCGTATAGAACGACATCGACAGGAGATCATGATGCAAATCAATGATAAAGAAAGAGCTAGGTATGTCTATATTATTTTTTTCACCAAACTGAAGAGGAAACAAATTCAAATTCAAATTCAAAATCAAAAATTTTTGCCGCTTATGAACGTCAAATTTTTTACATTATAATTTTAATTTTTTCCATACCGTCCAGTTCGGTATATAGATCCAATTGAGAAGAACTGGCAAGAAAGTCAATTGAATTACTTTTTTTTTAAAAGCCAGTTTATTTAGTATGTATTTTTATCTACAATGTATATTAAACGTCACTACACATCCTATGTGGTTGTAGCCCACTCATGCATAAACGAAATATCTCCTTTGGAAAGTTTACACTATCCTGAGGAGATAAAAACCATCGCTCCTAAGAATATCCTTCAATTCTTGCCCCTGACGGGTCTAGGTAGCGAACTTTGAATACGGTCGAGCACAATAGATCTATGTAGGTGCACTGACAATAGCCTATACCCCCAATAAAGGGGGATTGTTAGTAATGTGGCTTAATAACTCCATTACTAGCAATGTACCATGTCAACTTGACCTCCACGCAAGTCCCCCTGGAACCCATTCTAATAAATTCCTTACAATTTGCTACAAATAGCTGACATGACCTCATGCTCATCTTATCATCCTCCACTGTTGCCCCGCCAGCGTATACCGTTAGCGCCAACGGCGGATCCAGAGAGGGGGTCATGGGGGTCATAACCCCCCCCCTGAGCCCAGGACTTAGGTGGACCACTAATTAAACATAATGATTGTATTTATATATTTTGTCACCATACAGATTTTATGTAACTACATACCTTCAATATTTAATTAATTATATTTAAATAGTGCTTCTCTGGATGACTTCAAGAAAAGATGGCAATATAAACAAGTTATTTATAAAGAATAAATATTTTTAAGTGCAGTACTTGCGTACATTAATAAAATACCTACTTTTTACTTGTATCTATTGTTATCAAAATTAAATTATAAGTTCTTGACTTGACCACGACTATGTGACCCCCTCCTGGTGCCAAAGCTGGATCCGCCCTTGGTTAGCGCAGACGGGTGCATCAATCCATTATATTTTAATAAAATAATTAACGAAAGGGTGCCGAGTGTTGACAGAGATATTACAAGTATAGGCACATCTCTGAACTGGTTTCCTTAGGGCTGAGCTGCGGGAGAAGATCCACAATGAAGGTGTGGCGCTTCGGATGGAACAGGACCAACAGGACACGTACGAGAGGAAGGTCATTAAGCAGAAGGTAACAATGGTCCCAGCATTAAGAATTATAAGTGCCATAGACAAAAAAATATTACCACAGACAATTTTTTTTATCGAATGTGATTACTTTGCAGAAGTCTATGTCATTACTCAATTAATGTGGAAGTCCATTTCAGCCATGCATATAAATAAAATTGGAGTGTTTGTAATATTGAAATAACAGTTATTTATTACATGCATATGAATATAAATACAGTACATACACCAAAAAAACATTTTTTACAATATTTGCCTGTCTGTTTGTGTTTGTTTCGGCTAATCTCTGAAATGGCTGGACAGATTTTGACGGGACTTTCTTTGGCAGGTAGCTGGTGTAATAAACAGTAACTTAGGCTACTTTTATTTCAGAATAATTCCACGCAGACGAAGTCGCGGGAACAGATAGTTACTAAATATGTTTATAATATTTTCTTTAATTCCTCTACCATTAGCATGTGTAAATATTGCTAGTTCAATTCACACAGCGCCATCTAGTCCCACAGTAAGCAGAACTTGTATTATGGGTACTAGACAATATATAAATACTTAGATACTTGTTTTGTAAATACATACATAATATACATAGAAAACAGCCAGATCGATACAATCATGAATACAAATGTTTGCACCGCGAGAATCGAACCTGCGACCATCGGAATCAAAGCAGCGCTAAACCGCTAGACCATTGAGGTCGACAATAACATATTTGTGTATATAACAGGTGGCGTCTATGAGGCAGCAGAAAGTCCCCGAGAAGTATGTCAAAGAAGTGGAGCAGACGCTCGGCAAACACGGATATTAGGAAGCTGATGTTGTTGTTTTTTTTAATGTTTATTAGGAACAATGTCTTGATATCAGTATAATGTGTGAAAAAAAATAATGTTTTATTACTTACTAGTTACCCACCCCGGCTTTGAACGGGTATACTTGTATTATATGGTACATATAAACCTTAGACAAAGTTTCATACTAACTTTCATCCCCTATTTTATACCTTTGGGGGTAGAATTAATCAAAATCCTTTCTTAGCGGATGCCTACGTCATAACATCTACCTGCATGCCAAATTTCAGCCCGATCCGTCCAGTGGTTTGGGCTGTGCGTTGATAGATCACTATGTCAGATATACATAAAAAAGGATGTCACCACAAAACAAGCAGTAGATATTACTATATAATTAAAAAAAACAGTACGCTAAATCGCTCGACCACCAAGGCCGTCATATGCAATAGAAAATAAAAAAAACATGTACAAATTCAATTTTTTAATACTATTCTTCAATTGAACACATAATTCATACATAAAACAGCCATAACATCAAAAATTATTATAAACAAAACATAGGCGCCGTTCAAGTATTACGTGAGCAGATTTATTACAATTATTTACCCCCATCCCCTTGTCAGCAAACGTAATCAAAGCTCTCACCCCCTCCCCATGATTACGTAAATATTTGCCAATTAATGTATTGGTTCTAGCAAAGACAATGTGAGGGGTGTAAAAAAGTAAATTACTGCCGGTGACGTAATCATCATCTAGACCACCCCCCCACCCCCCGTGTCATCCAAAGACACCCCCCCCCCCCCCATAGTGCTTACGTAATACTTGAACGGTCCCATATACACTCACACAAAAACCATACAACATACACTATGTCACTCCGGAACTCTTAAGGCGGGTCATATGGTTATATCACTTTTATTATATAAAACTACAGTCCGTCCGCTCAGAGTTTGCGTTTCTGACAGGTCGGGATCGAATGGGCGATGTAACTTTGAACTGACGTACAATTTATGACAAAATTTTAAATATTTGCCATATTAACGAGTGATAACATCAAAAATTTCGGGCTAACATTATTAACTATTAACTACCCAAAAAATATATAAACAATTGTTTTTGATTACTCCAAAAAATATTTAAAATTTTTCCGTAAATTGTACGTCAGTTCAAAGTTACTTGCCCATTCGATAAATTTGCCGTAAAACACAAAAGAAACTATTGTTTTTATATTTTTTAATAGCCCGAAATTAATAAGTTTATTGTAATTTTTGATATTATCACTCGTTAATATGGCAAATATTTAAAATGTTGTCATAAATTGTACGTTAGTTCAAAGTTACATCGCCCATTCGATCCCGACCTGTCAAAAACTCAATCTCTGATCTTGTAATTTAACTGCCTGATCTCTAGCAATGCCCCGTTAGCACAGACAACATTCTATTGCATCATCCATAAAAAAACATCTATAGTCCTGAGGATAAATTCGACAATGACATTTTTGTTGTATTTCTTTCTTTTAAACTCGCACAGGCCCCTAGCCTATTCGGGACCTCCAGGTTTTGATCACTTACCTACTTTATCTGTGTTTCAACTATACCTATTAGGGACCTCTACCGTAGAGGCTCTACGTACTCACCCACTCTCCCTGACTATTAACCGACCCTATATAGTGTTATTTATAAAAATAGACAAGTTTTCGAGCTCTGTTCAAAGTGACATATAGATTAAAATTCTTATAATAATCTATTAATACTAAAACACCGATACTATCGTCGATACTATCGTTTGATCGGCAGAATTATCAATTATTGTCACAATCTATACATATAAATAAAATTGGAGTGTCTGTTTGTAATATTGAAATAACCGTTTACTACATGCATATGAATATAAATGCGGTATATGCACTAAAAAAACACTTTTTACAATTTTTGTTTGTCTGCCTGTCGGTCTGTTTGTTCCGGCTAATCTCTGAAATGGCTGGACCGATTTTGACGGGACTTTTATTGGCAGGTAGCTGATGTAATAAGGAGTAACTTAGGCTACTTTTATTTTAGAAAATAAAGTTAAATTCCACGCGGACGTAAATAAATTTATGATCAGTAATATTGTTTCTTGCTTGAATTATGAAATTTTAAACGTATATTGGTATAAACACCAAACAGAAATCTAGTTATAGGAAATATGAAAAAAATCATTTTATTAATAACAATCGCGCGTAACATCCCAAGAGATTTTTATTTGTGTCTGTCCGCCACTGGTTATTTTTACTCTATTTCGTGACCTTCTCGCAGGGATGTTATGGATATGAAATTTCGGATATAGGAACGATTATTATACCGGATACGGATGCGGATATGTAATTTTTTTCGGATCATCCGTTAGTTTCGGATAATTTCGGTTACGGATATTAATTTTTTAACGATTTTCAAAAGTAAAATACAAATAGCTAATAAAATGGTTACATAACGTGTCTCAATTAGACTCCGCCCCTATTCCATATTATCCGAGACTTTTTTTTCAAATACGGTTACGGTTATAGACATTTTTCATTTCAGATATCCGATAGTTTCGGTTACGGTTCGTAACATCAGTACATCAGTACCTTCTCGTCAGACTACATGTGTATTTTTTCCTATTTCATGGCCTTCTCGCCGAGTTTGACGACTTTATCCAAATTGTCTTTCAAAGTCTTGAGTTGGTTGAGCACTTGCGAGTCCATCAGTGCGAACGGTATGTATGCCTGCGACTGGCGCAGCTGCTTCGGCTGCAGAGACAGCATGGTGCCGTCCTGCAGAAGGATGTTGCAGTTGGCCTTCTCGTCCGGTTGCATTCTGCAACAATTTTTTTTATTAATAATCTCAGCACAATTCACACAGCGCCATCTAGTCCCAAGTTAAGCTAACTAAAGCTTGTGTTATGGGTACTAGATAACTGATGCATATACATAGATTTTACCTAAATGTCGTTTGGCTAAAGTAAGTAATTCGTTTTATGGCAATTGTGTAAGGTTTTACAATAAAATACCTGAGTCTGTTATAAATCTAAAAAGAAAGAAAGTAAAAAGTTAAGTTAAATGTCAAATAAAACACTTCCTTTGCAAAAAAGCTTACTATAAAATTGAAGAATTCGTTAACGATAATAATGTTTTTGTTTTAGTTTTGAAAAATTTTAAATACATAGCACTGACAATATTATCTGATTACACTAATAATGAGTGCGTAGCGATTTCTATATTGATTATCGCATGCCTCTTACTTGTTACACTGTAATTATTTATATAAAAAAAACATCTATTAAAAAGAGCAACACACAAGTTTCTTGCTCATTCTTCTTGTGATGAATCTGCATTCCGAATGAGTGGTAGAATCAAAATATGACTATTCAAAAGTGCTTGTAATGAGTTTATTTGAATAAAGATTATTTCTATTTCTATTTCTAGATATTTTTTTATGTAAATACATACATATTATACATAGAAAACACCCAGACCGATACTCATGAATACAAATGTTTGTGCCGTGCGATGAATCGAAACCGCGACCATCTGTTTGTACCCAATGGTAAGCTGGTAGAGAATAAAATAGTGGAATAAAGTAAAATAAATTACCCAGACCGACACAAGCAATCATACTCATGAAAATAAAAGTTTGTATTGGCAAGGAATTGAACCCGCGACCATCGTAAGTAAAGCAGTGACACCATTTCTCCAATGTATAATGTAACATGTAACACTCACGCGTAACATGCGGGGACCATGACGGGGGAGCCTGACATGGAGACTACCATCTCTCCGTGTCGCGGCTGACGCAGCACGGTCAGCGGCGTGTGGGGAGTCACCTGCACCATACAAATACAATTATTAAATATCTAATTTACTTTAGTCTCAGAATCTTATAATCTCAGTATCTTAGATCTATAAAAAATTTGACGTTTATAAGCGGCTAAAATGTCACATTTACTGAGCAAAGCCTACTCACTAAACGATTACTTGAATGACGAGTGTGCATGGCAATAGTTGTTCATGCACGGGATTTTCATTTAATATTTGACATAGACCCCTATATAAATTCAAAATACATTGTAAATAAAAAATGTAATTCAATTGAGTTTCTTGCCAATTCTTCTCAATTCTCGAATCTATATACCGAACTGGACGGTATGGAAAAAATTTAAATTAAAATGAAAAAGATTTGACTAAGCGGCTAAAATGTCCTATATGAATAAATTATTTTTGAATTTGAATTTGAATTATGCTATAATAATATCAAATAACACTATCATTGTATGAATGTTCTTCAGCAGCACCTTGGGCGTGATGGGCGGGAAAATAACGGGCGCGTCCTTGTAGTAGCTCACCTTGGGCGTGATGGGCGAGAAGTATTACGCGCGCGTTCTTGTGGTAGCTCACCTTGGGCGTGATGGGCGGGAAGTTAACGGATACGTCCTTGTGGTAGCTCACCTTGGGCGTGATAGGCGGGAAGTTAACGGATACGTCCTTGTGGTAGCTCACCTTGGGCGTGATGGGCGGGAAGTTAACGGATACGTCCTTGTGGTAGCTCACCTTGGGCGTGATGGGCGGGAAGTTAACAGATACGTCCTTGTGGTAGCTCACCTTGGGCGTGATGGGCGGGAAGTTAACGGATACGTCCTTGTGGTAGCTCACCTTGGGCGTGATGGGCGGGAAGTTGACGGGCGTGTTCCTATGATAGCTCACCTTGGGCGTGATGGGCGGGAAGTTAACGGATACGTCCTTGTGGTAGCTCACCTTGGGCGTGATGGGCGGGAAGTTGACGGGCGCGTTCTTGTGGTAGGCGGGTGTGCGGTACACGGAACGGCTGCGGCGGCGCTGTGTGTTGTAACTGGTCGCCGGTGGCTTCCGGCTAGACGCATCCGCGGACCGCGAGCGTCGGCTACTCCAGCTGGCCGGGGTTGCTGATGATGAACACTCTTATTAATTATAATATCAATAACCCAGGAGAAGGAGCGAGAACCATATCTTAAGGAAAGTATTTAAAAGATGTATAAAAGTAAGGTAAGCTTAGATATAGGCCGATCAATGTAAGAAGAAAAGTTAAGTCAAGGCAATGACGAACCAAAGAAAACTCGCACAGCGCCATCTAGTCCCAAGCTAAGCAGAGCTTGTGTATGAGAATAAAGATGTATGAGTCTGCTGTTACCCACACAATCTGGATGCTATGATGTATAAATGATAAGTCCGGGCTACTTTCCAACTTGTTTTATTGAGTACATGATGATTGAGCGTGGACTGATGCTTGTTTGTGAGTATTTGGTGTACTGAAGGGGAAATGGTGTGGGCGTTGTATGGACGCGGAGCTGGGTGAAATGCTAACTGTACGGTGACATACACCACAGCTTGTATTAAGTACAAATCAACGATATAAACACGGTTTATTGAGTAAAATGTATTTCTATTTGCATAAAAATAAATTAAAGATACAAACAATCGTGGTCATAAATAAAATGTTTGTGCCGTGCGAGGAATCGAACCCCACAGATTTAGAAAGAGTAGAGAATCTTAACGCAACCTCTGTTATTGCAACAGGGGGGAGGGAAATGTTAGTAATGTGGTCTGATGACCATTTGCTTGCAATGTACCATGTCAGTTTGACCTCCACGCGGTTTTTCCTGGAAACCATCGTGATAAATTCCTGGTGAAGTTGTCAAGATGAGCTATCTGACTTGACCTCATGCTCATCTTATCGTCCTCCACTGGTGCCTCGCCAGCGTCAATCATTAGCTCAGGCTGAGGCATGATTCCATTATCATCCATAAAAAACATGTCTGATTTTGAAATGTGACGTCACGTGAAGGACCCTTAACCCTCTTTTGTCACACTATGTCACATTAACGCGTGATGTAATATATAGATGGTCCCTAATTAAATAAAAAACATGTAAGATTTTGGAATGTGACGTCACGTGAAGGACCCTTAACTCCCTTTTGTCACACTATGTCACATTAACGCGTGACGTAATATATGAATAGCCCCTAATTACGTCAAAACATGTAAGATTGGAATGTGACGTCACGTGAAGGACTCTTCACCCCCTTTTGTCACACTTTGTCACATTAACGCGTGACGTAATATATGAATAGGCCCTAATTACGTCAAAAACATGTAAGATTGGAATGTGACGTCACGTGAAGGACCCTTCACCCCCTTTTGTCACACTTTGTCACATTAGCGTGACGTAATATATGTCACATTACGTCATAAACATGTAAGCGTGTGACGTCAATAAATTAACGTGACGTAATATATGCATAGATTACGTCGCATCAAGCAGACACTTACCGAATTTCTTGGCCTTGTCCCCGGAGCCCTGCGACGAGTTCTCAGTGAGGTAGCCTGCCCCAGAAAGCGCCCGGTTAGTGGAAACATGACGGTGATGTTAGTTCAGAACGTAATGATTCATGAGTGAAGAATAGACCAGTTGGTAATCCCAATTATAATATAGGGTACAATGTTAGAACTAAATGTATGGAAGCTGATTGTTTTTTTTTTAATGGAAGAGCATAGAGGCAGCGTTAGCACCTCTATACGTTCTTTCACGCACTATCGGAAGCTCGATTTATTTATTTGAGCTACCATCAAGACACACAAGGAAATTACAATTATTAACCCCTTTGAGGAGTTCAGATATATTGACTTCATTACTTTTATTACCAAGGCATGCACAAATGTTTGCAAAAGTTTTATATATATTTTTTTATTTATATGTTATATATTTTTTTTATTATTAATAATATAATAATATTAAATTTAGTTTTAATATAACTCTTGGATTTATATTATTAACCATGTCTTTACAGCGCCATCTAGATTAGCATACAACGTTATAATTAGCTGAAATTGATTGTTTTATATGGTACTAGATAACTGATACATATACATAGATATTGTTTTTTGTAAATACATACATATTATACATAGAAAACATCCGGACCGATACAAACAATCATACTCATGAAAACAAATGTTTGTGCCGTGCGAGGAATCGAACCCGCGACAATCGGTAAAGCGGTGTGCTAGATCGCTAGACCACCGAGGTCGTCAAATATGTGTATAATAAATTTTAATTATTAATTTAATTAAGATTCAGCTCATTTCAAATGATTAAATTTAGTTTTAATATAACTCTTGTTTATTTATATTATTAACCGTGTCTTAACAAGAATAATTTTAGTTAACCGTGACGTAACGTCGTACGTCGTAACGACGTAACGTCGAGATTTAAATAACTTCATTTGCCATAATATTATTTCGTGTTAAGACCCGATTAATAATAGAAATAATATATTAAACATATTTAAAAATAACTAGTGTTTAGTATCAACTCACTACAATTTATGCCTGGACACTATACTAATTGACAGAGTTTAGTTTTGTTAATTGCATTCACATATTATACATACATTATTTTTAGTGATAAATTTAATAATAATAATATTATCTCGTCTACATGTGTCATCCCAACATCCCTACACACTAGCCTCAAGATATTACAACTTCACCTACTTACTTTCATACTTCTCCAAAAAGCTGTAATACTAAACACGTGTAGAATAGTCGTGGTAAAAGATATAGTTTTTTTTTTATTTAATATTTTACGGCTCTGGATACAAGTCCTTTTTATCCCAACATAAAATACAACTTAAAAAAAAACTTTAAAAGAAATAAATTAAAGATATAGTTATTAACAAAAGATTGCTAGTAATTAGTAATGATTTACCCTTGTGTTAAGGTAAGGCAGATAGAAGATAAAGGTTTAGATAATGATGATGAAAAGTGGTATACCATCATCTTGTGAAGCCGAGCGGGTAGAGTTTCTGGTCTTCCGCGTGGTCGCCGTTTCGTTGATGTACAGTTCAGATTTCTGAAATTCATTTTTTACATAACAATAATAAATAAATCTGGACAATTGACACAGCGCCATCTAGTCCCACGGTAAGCAGAGCTTGTGTTATGGGTACTAGACAACTGATATAAATAAATAAATAACCCAGGACAATTAACACAGCGCCATCTAGTCCCACGGTAAGCAGAGCTTGTGTTATGGGTACTGGACAAATAAATAAATGCTTAGATATTTTTTTTGTAAATACATACAGAATATACATAGAAAACACCCAGGCCGATCATAACAAAAACAATCATACTCATAAATACAAATGTTTGCGAGGAATCGAACCCGCGGCCATTGGAAGTAAATCGGTATTTTTTTATTTTTTTTTATTGGATTGTTTGGGCTCTTGGTAGCTGTTTGTAGCACCTGTAGCACTGCGACCTACATAGATTTATTGTTATCGCCCTTTTTCAGAGTTCGCTACCTAGACCCGTCAGGGACAAGAATTGAAGGATATTCTTAGGAGCGATGGTTTTTATCCCCTCAGGAGAGTGTAAACTTTCCAAAGGAGATATTTCGTTTATGCATGAGTGGGCTACAACAACATAGGATGTGAAGCGGCGTTTCCTCTTCAGTTTGGCAGAATCTGCAGATTCTTGTCGTGCACAGGCCTAGTTTAGCCATATGCTTGTTTAATTTAAGTAAATCGGTATACTAAACCGCTAGACCAACGAGGCCGTCGATCTTTTTTCTATATAAATGGAATAGCAAACATCCTGATGGTCCACACGTAAAATATTAATTTCTATTACATATAAATAAAATTAGAGTATCTATTTGTAATATTGAAATAACTGTTTTTACTACATGCATATGAATATAAATATGGTACATACACCAAAATAACATTTTTTACAATTTTTGTCTGTCTGTCAGTTTGTTCCGACTAATCTCTGGAATGGCTGGACCGATTTTGACAGGACTTTTATTGACAGATAGCTGATGTAATAAAGAGTAACTTAGGATACTTTTATTTTAGAATAATTCTTTTAATTTAGAAAAATAAAGTTATTTTCCAAGCGTCTGAAGTCCTGGTATAGGTAGATTGCCACCACCATCATTCATCATCACCATCTATCATTGCTCTAAAAAAAAAGAACTCACCAATTGTCCAACAGTCTTCTGCAGCTGCGTAGAGTCAATAGAACCGAGCAGTATCTTGAATGCAATGTCCAAAGCCTTCAATTCCAAGTTTATGCGATTGTCAATCATTTTCTTTTGGTCCATTACTGTTAACATAATAATTAATATATACTGACTTGGTCGAGATAGGAAGCAAATCTAATTTAACATTCATAATCTTATTTAATTGATTAGGGGTAAAGTTAACAACAGCCAGGTGTTGAGTTGTGTGGAGTTCTGTGTTCCGGATAAACATGTATGGTGTCATAGACCACAACTGCTGGCTGTGACACATAGAGCACTTACTAGGCAAAGCACCGGCCACAAGAGCACTGCGTACATTAAACCATATAATGGAGCAAATAGATTTATTTCCTTGTTCTCTGAATGAGTTCACAACTATTGCTTTATTTCTTATAAGTTCCAATTAATTAATAAAAAATATAGTTTGTTGCACTATTCTGTTAGGCTAAGACCTGTGAAAGTAGATAAGTGTGGAAATAAAATAAATTATAAATGGGAAAGTTTGTGAGTATTGATGGATGTTTGTTATTCTTTCATGCAAAAACATGTGGTAAATTCACCAGGCATTTACTATGGTTTCCAGGGGAAACTGTGTGGAGGTCAACCCGACACTGATAGTAATGAAGTCATCAGGCCACATTACTAACAAGTCCCTACCCCCCACTAACATTATATTAGGGTCTGTTCAAATATTACGTAAGCAGATTTATTACAAATTACAATTATTTACCCCCCCATCGCCCTTGTCACCAATACTCTTACCCCCTCCCCCATGCATACATAACCTAAATTGCAGATCTTTGTTTAAAGAATGCTGTGGTATAAATATAATACTTTCTATTCGTATTGTGTTCATGTGTTTACTTCACACACACACATAGACCAAACATTTTTCAATTAATATATTGTTTTTTTGGGAAAACCAATGTGAGGGTTGCCGTTTCTATAAAAAAGTAAATAACTAGTGATGATGTAATCATCATCTAGACTCGCCTACCCCCCGTGTCATCCAAAATAAGCAAAACAAACCTCCCTACAGTGCTAACATAATACTAGAGTGGCCTAATAAGATGAGCATCAGGTCAGCTCAGTCAGCCCATCCTGGTAAATTATTATTGATTTATAACAATGGTTTTTAGGGAACGACATGAAAACTTTGGAATACTGAACCCCTTAACTGAATGCTATATGTTCAGATGGGCTTTATTATGGTTTTATAAATGAGTATCTTGTTTTCCATGGTGACACACAGTGCTTTGTTTACATATCTTAATAACATTATAAATGCAAGTTTGTGAGTCATCATCATCATCATCATCGCAGCCCGGAAGAATGTGAGTGTCCGCTTGTTACTCTTTCACACAAAAACTACTGAATGGATTTTGATGAAACTACACTAATATAGCTCATGCACCCGAATAACACAGGCTATATATTTTATATTGCAAAATAACGCGGGTAAACCGCGGGCACAGCTAGTCTATATTTTGCTGACACAGTTTGTACAAACTCGTGCTAGTATCTGTGTCGCCATGCGACTTGCTTAGTACAAGTTATGTTCCTGTTTGCAGCGTGAGATATGGCAGTAAACTACAGGATATGGTAACAAACAAAAAATACGCTTGAACGTAACTATGTTTTTTTAAGTGTTTAAAAGCACTTTAAGTCACATTTTTAGAAACAGAGACTTCTTAAGGTGTCTATATATGTATAGACTACATTGTACCTGACGATTTTAAATCAAAAAGTAGTAGAATTAGGGTGTACTTACCTAATTTATTTAACTTCTTAAGTGCCTCATCTTCTACATCTGATTTCTCTTGTTTTTTTACCGGTCGTTTTGTCCGTGGCATTTTATCACTCTATCACTCAGTAATTTAGAAAGTGATGAAGGAAAGTTCTAAAAATTATAACATACAAATGAATAGAACAGAGAAAGAGGAAATAATGAAAATATTAAACAAGTTGTTTAACTAAAAATTAAACAGAAACAAAAGGAAACCGCTACTTCTTATTCTATTCAAAATTGGATACATTTGGATACATTCCAAAGAGTACCATTGTAGACATGGATTTAAGTAAAATAATTTTTGGTTTCAGATTGTACTTTTTAATATTTTTTTATTTAATTACCATTCGTTTGATACTCTATAATATTCTTAATAAACAAATAATATTAAGTACTAAACCTATTAAAAATATTTTTAAATATTTTTTTGTTGTAAAGACGAGGACATCATATTGGAATTTAAATTAAAAAAAAATATGTCAATTAAAACTTCCTTTGGGTTTTAAAGGAATTTTATATTGACATATTTTTTTTATACATATCACTATCAACTATACTAATGTAACAATAAATGAATATAAGAATGCGGTGACGTGACGCAATGTATCCGAACTGTATACATAGAGTCATGTATTATAGAGGAAAAATATGTTTCCATAGACAAAAAGGAAACGGATTGTAATGCTTTAGTGTTTGTAATAAAATATGATTATATTTTATACATACACAAGATATCCTTTAGTAATTTTATAATTCGAGTATAAAGTAATACATAATTATAAAACAATATATATTGTAAGTTTTTCTTAATATATTTAAAATTAAAATAAATAATTCTAAATTTGATTTCCAGAGTGCATTGTTGTTATGATGAACGAAGAATGGCGGACGCTGTCATATTACGATATTTGTTCACATTTTTATTAATAAATTCTAGTAGCGGTAAGATTTAACTCTAATTTATATTCATAATATCACAGTGTTCTATTATATACTAAAAGTCAAAGTTACAACAACCTTCTAATTCTCTATACACGAGTATTCAAATAGCTTCCTCCTTTGAATATTTCATTATTTCTAATGTTTTTCAGTTAATGTAGTATGTTTCAGCTATTTCACGTGTATTTAATACATTCTTTTGACAATCCACTATTAATTTAATCGGTACTTAGTAAAATTGTCATTAAAATACAATATTCTAGGCAGTTGTTTATTGTTACTTTATTTCATAATAATAGTAGAATTCACTGTAATTTTAACCATTTGTAACATTTTAATATCCACAGAGTAACTAATCTGTGTAAGTATTCTGTATTTTTATTATTTTACATATATTAAAATCGAACTTTCAAAACTCAGGTTTGAATATATTGTTTACTAGCTGTACTCCGGACTTCGTCCGCGTAGAAATTACTATATTTATCTAAAATAAAAGAATTTTTCTAAAATAAAAGTAGCCTAAGTTACTCTCTATTACATCAGCAACCTCCCATAAAAATAGGTCCAGCCATTTCAGAGATTAGCCGGAACAGACAGACAGACATTCAAAAATAGTAAAAAATGTTATTTTTGTGTATGTACCGTTTTTATATTCATATGCATGTAGTAAAAAACGTTTATTTCAATATTACAAACAGACACTACAATTTTATTTATATGTATGTAGTATAGATAATATTTCGATAACCTACTTTATTGTTTTCGTAAGAATATAATCTAGAAGATATATGACTTTCTAAACTGCTTGGTTTGTTTTTGGCCAAATGTTGAGGTGGATGTGTGCTGTGACAAGAATGAATAAGATAAAGAATGAATATATTAGAGGAAGTATGAAAGTGGCACTGGTACGGACAGGTTGAAGAGTAATCATCTATTGTCGTAAGGACGTGTAATCAAGGGCGGATCCAGCTTTGGTGCCAGGAGGGGGTCACATAGTCATGGTCAAGCTAACAACTTATAATTTAATTTTGATAACAATAGATACAAGTAATAAGTAGGTATTTTATTAATGTACTGTACTTAAAAATATTAACAAAATCTGTATGGTGACAAAATATATAAATAAAATCATTACATTCAATTAATGGTCCACCTAAGTCTTGGGCTCAGGGGGGTCATGACCCTCATGACCCCCCCTGGATCCGCCGTTGCGTGTAATGTGTAGGAATGAAGATATTATTTCAAGGAAAGTGTAACATATGAATGTGGTTTGTTACAAGGGCAGAGGAAGGTCGAAAATGAGATGGATGGACTGTGTGAAAGGTGATATGGTAAGAAAGGGAGTAAATAACAAGATGACTGTGAACAGAGATGAATCGAAGATAAAAACATATTATGACAACCACAAATAAATAGAATAAGAAAGAAGCAGATGATAATGAGGGATGGACAGACAGCAACTTTGTTTTATACTATGTAATAAAGATGTAAATTTGTAATTTATGTTATTTCCAGGTTTACCAGGTCTTGTGGAAGATTTGCATTTGAATTTGAATGTGAATGTGGACAGCTTGGATGATGACTCGTCACCAATCACCGAGTCTACAGAAGTACAACATGTGGATGAACCTATGTCCATTGATCAGATGATGGTGCAGCAGCCCAGGTAACCAGCAGTCTTAAAGCATGTATTGGATACCATTTTTATTAAAGATATTTATACAGGATGGAACCTATTTATGTTCGCAAAGTGAGAGCACGCACTTATTTTGTACTAGCTGTACTCGCGACTTCGTCCGCGTGGAATTTAACTTTATTTTTCTAAAATAAAAGTAGTCTACGTTACTCCTTATTACATCAGCTACCTGCCAAAAAAAGTCCCATAAAAATCGGTCCAGCCATTTCAGAGATTAGCCGGAACAAACAGACAGACAGACAAAAATTGTAAAAAATATTATTTTTGTGTATGTACCGTATTTATATTCATATGGATGTAGTAAAAATCGGTTATTTCAATATTACAAACAGACGCTCCAATTTTATTTTTTTGTTTGGATGTACTCTCTGATATGTTGCTGAGATGTTAGTTTTTATTGGATGATATATTTAAAAAAATCTGTAACACCATGTAAGGGGCCATTCAAGTATTACTTAAGCAATATACTTTGCTTATTTTGGATGACATGGGGGGTGGGGGGGGGAGTGTAGATGATGATCACGTCACCGGCAGTAATTTACTTTTTTACACGCATGGCACCCCTCATTGTCTTTGCTAGAACCAATACATTAATTGACAAATGTTTACGTAATCATGGGGAGGGGGTGAGAGCTTTGCTTACGTTTGCTGACAAGGGGGATGGGGGTAAATAATTGTAATAAATCTGCTCACGTAATACTTGTACGGCCCCTAATTATGTTTGTTTGTGAATACTAATATTAACAATATGTTTTTGGCTGCAACCATAGGATGAGAAAGTTTCGAAAAAGGTAATTATAATAATAATAATCTCAGGACAATTCACACAGAACCATCTAGACCCAAGTTAAGCTAGCTAGAGCTTGTGTTATGGGTACTAGATAACTGATACATATACATAGATTTTTTTTTTTTTTACATACATACATTATACATAGAAAACACCCAGACCGATACAAACAATCATACTCATGAATACAAATGTTTGTGCCGTGCGAGGAATCGAACCCGCGACCATCGGACGTAAAGCGGTGTGCTTGACCGCTAGACCACCGAGGTCGTCAAAATTATTATTAAGTATTAAGTCTGACAGTGTTCATGCTCTGGTAGGTTTTTTTATAGATGACTAACTACGCCCGCGACTCCGTTCGCAAGATTCCTTGCGGACGAATGAGGCATTTCTATTACATCCCCTATTTTATTTTATTATTAAGGGTAAAATTCGTACAAACTTTGAATGTCATATTGATAGTGAAAAGTTTAAAAAATAAGTTTCAAACTTCTAGCTTTAAAAATGACGATACTTCCATACAACCCTTCATCTCCCCTTTCAACCCCTTACAACCCTTTCTTCGCATTAAAAAGTAGCCTATGTCCTTTCTCAGGGTCTAGACTATCTGTATACCACATTTTATTTAAATCGATGCAGTAGTTTTTGGTGTAAAAGCGAGACAGACAGACACAGAGTTACTTTCGCATTTATAATATTAGTAGGATAATGAAATGTTGCACCCTCCTGCGCTGACGGTATACACTGGCGAGGCACCAGTGGAGGATGATAAGATGAGCATGAGATCAGGTCAGTTAGCACATCGTGACAAAATCACCAAGAATTTATCACGATGGTTTCCAAGGGAACCGTTGATGGAGGTTAATCTGACATGGTACATTGCTAGCAATAAGATCATCACTCCACATTACTAACAATCCAATTTCACCCTGCTCTGGTAGCACGCCACTTTCATTCCGATTATAGCAGGTTCGATTCCTAGCATCGTATAAATATTTGTATTCATGAGTATGATTGCTCAATGCAAATGCTGTACAGGTTCTGACTATGGAGCAAAGATAAAATTCATGAGTATAAATATTGGCTTATTACATCGCAGCCTACTACTGTCACTGGACCTTTATTGATATGTGCATATCTGTCTGTAATGCGAATAAATGACGTACTCACTTACTTACTTCAGAAGCACAATAAGATCGAGCAAGAAATAAGAAAAATAAATAAATAGTTAGTTGAGTAACAAAATAAATCAGTCATAGTTATCAGACCAGCAACAGCGCTCGTACACGATCGATTTTCAATGATTGAGTAATGTGGTCGTGCAGGTACAAATGCCACCAGTGCGAGCACGAGGACTGCGACGATGACGAAGAGCGCACGTGCTCGAACGCGCTGTACTGCTTCAAGGCGACGGTGCGAGCCGCAGACGGAGCCCTGCAGCACTCACGCGGCTGCACGCAGCGCTCCGACCACTACCAGTTCACGTGCCGCACCAACCACAACCAGGGGTGAGTAGCGACGCAGCGCTGCGTGCAGCGCTCCGACCAGTACCAGTTCACGTGCTGCACCAACCACAACCAGGGGTGAGTAGCGACGCAGCGCTGCATGCAGCGCTCCGACCAGTACCAGTTCACGTGCTGCACCAACCACAACCAGGGGTGAGTAGCGACGCAGCGCTGCATACAGCGCTCCGACCAGTACCAGTTCACGTGCTGCACCAACCACAACCAGGGGTGAGTAGCGACGCAGCGCTGCATGCAGCGCTCCGACCAGTACCAGTTCACGTGCCGCACCAACCACAACCAGGGGTGAGTAGCGACGCAGCGCTGCATGCAGCACTCACGCGGATGCACCGAATCAACGTGCCTTTTGAAAGTAAGCTTCTCGTCCAAGACTATGCCTAAAATAATTTATAGATGACGTGTTTTCAATAGTTTTACAAGTGCAGGTGCTGGGAGTTGGTCAGTATTTAACCGTATATTAAATGATTTTTGTTGTTGAACACAACACCTGTTGAATCTAGGGTTAAATATAAAGAGCACTTTTATCATTGAGTATCTTTGTGATAGTGGAGATTTCTATTGGTGAGATGAAAAATGAATTTGGTGATGAACTCGGCAGTACTACCTGAGATGCTAGAGATTTACTGCTCTTACTTTTCGTTTAACGACGACATCGTCGAGTGTACTGGATTTTGACCTACTGTTTCTAGAACTACTAGCTTTTACCCACGTGCATGTGCCTAGGGCCCCGCAATGGAATGGGCCCCCCTAGTCCAGTCTAGTCCTTACTTAGGCAGCCCTCCAATCCAATGGCCTCGGAGGCGTGCGCGTGTACCCACATGCCTCCACAATGGAGTAGGGCGAAATAGGTCGCCCTAACCGTAACGAGATGGGGCCCTACAATGTCTACAAGGCGGGCCGTCGCTGTCGGACTGGAGTCGAAATGCACATGCGAATATCCTGGCTCCAGCATAGGCGTTCGTAGGTACACCGTGTGGTTTTTGATGAGTAAAAGTCTCACACACCGCTCCGCCCTCCCTCCGGCGGGGTGACGGTCTTTGAAGATATAAAAAAAAAGTCTAGTCCCTACTCCATTACCACACAGTAACCGATAGCTCCTCTACTCTCGCCTGAAAATCAGTCTTAATAAATGCTTACCGACTATGGTCAATTTGTTCGTTTTTGTAAATTTTTTTATAAATGTCTAGCAAGAATTTAAACCCTCATCACATAACGACTTTTTAAAATTATTTTTGCCCGGTTTGTTTTGAAGGTAGGCCATCCCTATAAACATTTCTGAAGAGTCATGTTCAAAAATGACTTTGTATATTCTAACAAAATAGTGCTTTATTACTATGGCCACATAACGAAAACAAATCCTAGGAACAGTGAGGTCGCTCCGTGAAGCCTGTGAAGACACCAGGAGATTTCTGCGCTTCTGGGAGCAGCTTGGTTGGCTGCTCTAGTAGTCTGGCTCTGCACGCACAACGGTCCAGATGAGAGTCTGACTGCAGAGAATGGTGTCCAACTTATATTAATAATAATCTCAGGACAATTCACACAGCGCCATCTAGACCCAAGTTAAGCTAGCTAAAGCTTGTGTTATGGGTACTAGACAACTGATACAAATACAATAGATATTTTTTTTGTAAATAAATACATATTATACATAGAAAACACCCAGACCGATACAAAAATCATACTCATGAATACAAATGTTTGTGCCGTGCGAGGAATCGAACCCGCGACCATCGGTTGTAAAGCGGTGTGCTAGACCGCTAGACCACCGAGGTCGTCGAATTACAGTACTATGATCATAGGGGCATTGTCCTAATGTGCCCAGGGCCTCTAATAGGTGAAAGACGGCCCTGGTTTTTATGAGTACAGTTCCACAAAGATCTCTGCCATTAAAACTTATCGTTTCCAGTCCGCACAAGCGGCACGCCGGGCAGCTCCACATAACGTGCTGCCGGGGCGACATGTGCAACAACGGCAGCTTCCCCGCGCTGGCCGCCGCCAGTGTGGGGGGTGTGGGGGGTGCGGGGGGCGCGGCGGCGCAGCCCCTCCCCCCCGGGGGGTGGGGCCTGTGGGGCGGGGTGGTGGCGTCGGTGCTGGTCGTCGCCGCCATCGGCTCCATGGCCATATTCGTGCTCCGGCGCACCCACAGGTAAGCGGCTATATACTCTATTAATTTAGAAATTCAAATTAAAAAATCATTTATTCATGTAGGACATTTTAGCCGCTTATGAACGTGATTTTTTTACATTAAAAACATATTCGGTTGCAATCCAAAAAACCTAGGAGCTATCTACTGTATAAATTGGGTGACACTATAGTCTGTTTTTTAATTCCGGAGACTAAATTGACAGGTGTAAATGTCACTTCCAAATAATGTTACCACCTACAGCGGGGTAGTGGTGTACCTGCGATACCGATTTGTTTAATCGGAAACTTTTATTTTAACATATTAGTTTAGTTATTATTTTTTAAATATATTTAAAATTATGTACATATATACTAGTGTTTCCATTACTGTCGTCCTACAGCATAAAAATACATTTTTGTCGTTTCCGTACAAATAATATTTTTTACACTATTAGGCTACAAACCAACATTTTTTTCTTTCAAACAGCTAAATATTTTAAATAAGTGTTTTTTTTTATGATATTCAAATTAAAATTCAATAAATAAATAACCCTGAACAATTAACACAGTGCCATCTAGTCTCACGGTAAGCAGAGCTTGTGTTATGGGTACTAGACAACTGATATAAATACTTAATTTTTTTTATAAATACAAAGAATACACCCAGAATAATACAAACAGTCATACTCATGAATACGAATGTTTGCGCGCGATGAATCGAACCCGCGACCATCGTAAGTATAGCGAGTCTGCCAAACCGCTAAACCAACGAGGCCGTCAAACTATATGTTCCACAGATTGCGAGTATCAAGATCAACACAACACAAGCTGGGCAACGAGTCCAACTATTTCTCATACAGCCCACAGATAACCAGCGCGTTCTATGAAGGTACATTTTATTTATTTACTAGCTAATCACCCCGGCTTCGCACGGGTGTACATGTATTATACATATAAACCGTCCTTTTGAATCACTCTATCTATTAAAAAAACCGCGACAAAATCCGTTGCATAGGTTTAAAGATTTAAGCATACATAGGGACGGACAGCGACAGCGACTTTGTTTTATAGTATGTAATGATTTAATATGGCATCAAATTTTGGTTTCATTCAAATTCAAAGCACAATTGTGCTTGGTTTATTTGACTGTGGTTCTATAAACGTTACTTAGGTTTACGGTTCCAAAGTTTAAATGAACAAAAATAATAAAAATTTACCACAATAACCAGAAACTTGGTTACACCTTGACCAACTTTCTAGGATTTTCTTAACCGCCCATAATTTTCAAACTGCATGCAACAGATTTTTCTCATGATGGTTAATCACGGTTTGACGTTCCAGCAATGGTATTTATTCTGATGTATAAGCTATATTACTGTAAAGTTTCATTAAAATCCATATTGAAACCTTTTTTTTTATTTAGATCAAGAAATAATAATAATAATTCTGCCGGGGGTTATTCCTTTTTGAATTTTTTTTGGAAGTTAGGAATAATAATAATAATCTAAAGACAATTCACACAGCGTCATGTACACCCAAGTTAACTCAGCCAAAGCTTGTGTTATGGGTACTAGATAACATATTATACATAGATATTTTTTTTGTAAATACATATTATATATAGAAAAACACCCAGACTGAAAAACAATTATACTCATGTGCAATTTGTGCCGTGCGAGGAATCGAACCCGCGACCATCGGTCGTAAAGCGGTGTGCTAGACCGCTAGACCAACGAGGTCGTCAAGTTGGGACAGTTGTAATATAATGGATGTAATGTTAGGTGTAGGCGCAGAGGGATCAGTGAGCGGAGTGCGTGCGGTGGCGGCAGGAGACTCCACGCTGCGGGAGTACCTCGAGACCTCGCAGACCAGCGGCTCGGGCTCCGGCCTCCCGCTCATGGTGCAGAGGACGCTCGCCAAGCAGGTCACGCTCCTACACTGCGTCGGCAAGGTAACCACCACGCCAGCCTGGAGCTCTGGGAGTATTTCTTGACCTCGTAAACCAGGACTCGGTCTCCGGTCTGACGCTCATGGTGCGGAGGACCAGAGGAGTAACTCCCACGGCAGCCTGGAGCTCTGGAAGTACCTCGAGACCTCGCAGACTAGTGTCTCGGGCTCCGAAAATCCAATCGGTCAAGGCTGAGCTTTTAAGAATAAACGCTCTCCGCTCAAAATGTTATCTGGTGTGTTGGCCGTAGTAAAAGATTGTGTTCTTTTAAATATGCATAAATTTTGGGTTAACGGGGAGCCAGATGGATGGCCGTAGTAAAAGGTTGTGTTTTTGAAATATGCGTAAGATTTGGGTTAACGCGTGTGTTTGTCCCCAGGGCCGGTACGGGGAGGTGTGGCGAGGCGCGTGGTGCGCGGACAGCGTGGCCGTCAGGATATACTTCTCACGAGACGAGGCGCGCTGGAGGCGGGAGACCGAGGTGTACAGCACCGCGCTCCTCAGGCACGACAACCTGCTGGCCTACGTGGGCAGCGACATGACCAGCCGCGGCAGCTGCACGCAGGTACCACCACACCCACCACACACGCCACACTCACCACACTCACCACACAACACGAGCTCTACAGCAAGCGCTGCTGAATATCTTCGAAAAGGCCCTAACTATATTTATTTATTTGAGCAACCAACAAGATCTCATTACGATAAAACAAAGTCGCTGTCGCTGACTGTCCGTCCCTATGTATGGTTAAATCTTTAAAACTACGCAATGGATTGCAAGGGTTAATAATTGTAATAAAGAAAACCGCTTCAAGGTTCTCTTTATAACAATTATTAACCCTTGCAAGATGTTCAGGTATATATCTGATTTTACTGGTTGCCACATACGTAAATGTTTGCAGAAGTTTTTTATATATATTTCTTTTTATTTTTTTTATTGACGATTGTCTAAAACTGTAGTGCGTTCTATACTAGAACATGTATCTAAAGCAGCACTGGCAGGTTCCCACCAGAATTGTCTGAGCAGGCAGAGAAACGAGCTATGGAGTTGAGTCTTGACATATGTAGCCAAAGGGACCTACAGGTCCCGGGAACTTATCCAACTTTTGAATCCGACAAGCACACGGTTAATCTATAGAATGCTAAGAAGTTCATCTCATAATCATCTTAAATTAATGCAAAATGTATCATATTTGGTTGCAGCTATGGTTGATAACTCATTTTCACCCGCTGGGGTCGTTGTACGAGCACTTGAATAGGAACACGTTGACTCGCCACCAGATGATGGTGATATGTCTGTCCATCATCAATGGACTGCTGCATCTGCACACAGAGATATACGGCACGCAAGTAAGTGAAAGTACTTTCACGATTGTTATCTACGATGGGGTGGTCAGTAGTAGAGGTATTGGCAACTGTCCACGTTGTGAGTACCGCACGTGACATGCCTACATTTCGGTGGGTATCTTTCCAAGTGGCAGTGGGTGAGTCTAGCATTGTGTGGTATTTTCATGTCATTAACATTAAAAAAAGAATTTTGCCCAAAAAATAATGTTTTTTGGGGTTCTTCAACCCTTATTAGTTAGGGGTATTAGAAATAGATAACTATTCAGGCCTACCGAGTACCGCTACATATCAAATTTCATAAAAGTCGGTTAAGCCGTTTCGGAAAACTATGACAACTATGAAACAGCTGAAACTCATCATAAACACGAGAATTTGAAATTGAAATATAATGTAATTGTATTGTATTATTGAAATTGGAAGTAAGTAAGAACAACGATGTTTGCAGGGCAAGCCGGCGATAGCGCATCGCGATATAAAGAGCAAAAACATCCTGATGAAGGTGAACGGCGAGTGCGCCATCGCAGACCTTGGATTGGCGGCCACGCGCCGCAAACTGCCCTCCAGGGACGACCCCCGCCAGGGCACCCCCCGGTACATGAGCCCCGAGCTACTTGACGACAGGTACATCAAGTTACTAACCATTCTGAAATTTGTTATTTGTACATCAAACATTATGAGAGCATTTCAGGCTGTGTCACAGCAGACTTATTCTCTATGGTCCTTCGAGCCGGATTCGAAACCAATTCAAGTTCAAGTTACTTATTCATGTAGGATATTTTAGTCACTCACACGAATTAAGTTTTTTGTATTTATGTTATTATTTCTTACCGTTCAGTCCTGAATTGCTTCTTAAACGTTTTTGGGTGTTTTTAAAACTAAATATTTTTGTGTTTTATTGTTGCGTGTATCGTATAAATCTGTTGTCTTGGTTATTAATACATTAAAAACCGTATTGCAAAATCTTAATCTCAGATATGGATCGGCTTCTTTTTTAATTGTTAATTACGTAAAGTCTTATGATAAATTTACTAAGGCCGCTATATGCAGTATCTCTTCTTCGAAGAGATCTTCTAGCAGCGAATGGACTACTTTTTTTTTAACTTTGAAATTTAAATCATGCCCATAAGCTGTACGAGCGGTCCCCAGGCAAAATATGTCTCGTGCCCGTCTGTGGGTACGGGGGTCTATAATGTCGTCGCGGAGTGGCTCACCGGTGGGCGTGCGGTCTTTAACGTGTCAGTATCGGAGTGTACGGTTACAGCATCGACCTGGAGTGCTTCGAGTCGCTGCTGAAGTGCGACGTGTACGCGCTGGCGCTGGTCGTGTGGGAGGTCACCCGGCGCACCGAGCCCGCGCGGGACTACCGCCCGCCCTACTACGACCTGCTCGCGCCCGACCCCCGCCCCCACCACGTGCGCAAGGTCGTCTGCGGGGGCGCCCGCCCCCACCCGCCGCACTCCCCGCACCCGGTCAGTATCGCTACTCCCGCCTCGGACCCTTACCACCTCCGGATCCCCGCTACTCTCGGATGTTGGGACCCTCACGACCCCCAGTCCCCGTTGCTCAGAATCTTTGGAACCTCACGACGCCCGGATCTCCGCTACTCCCGGGTCTTTGGACGTTCACGACGTCCGGATTCCCGCTACTGCCTAATTTTTGGACCCTCACGACCCCTGGGCCCTCGCTACTCCCGAATATTTGGAACTTCATGACCCCGGACCCCGCTACTCCCGAATCTTTGGACCCTCACGACCCCCGTACTCCCGCTACTTCTGGATATTTGGACCATCATGACCCCGGATCACCACTACTCCCAGATATTTGGACCCTCATGACCCCGGATCCCTGATATTCCCGGATCTTTGGACCTTCAAGACTCCCGGATCCGGGTAATTTTGAACCTTCCCATTCCCCCGATCCCCGCTATTCACGAATCTTTGTATTCACGAGTCCCGGAACCCCTGCTACTCCCTGATCTTTTGACCCTCGCCATCCCCGAACCCCCAGACCCTCGCTATTCTCACTCAGACCCTCGGACCTCCGTGACCCCAATAGAAAAGTCATAACGGTAGTCAGATATCCGCATTAAATGTTTCTTATCCCGAGCGGAATTGAACAAAATAATATAAATTTATTAAGTAGATACTCCTTTATTTCCACAGACAATGGTGGGTCTAGCAAATCTAATGCGCGAGTGTTGGCACCAGAACCCATCGGTTCGCCTCCCGGCGTTGCGCATAAAGAAGACTCTCCTCAAACTAGCCGCCTACGACAACTCCATACACCTCGACGATGACAACGAAGTCTCTGTGTAACACTGTATGTATATATGTATTATATAGGACATCTTATTAATTCACTTTTTTTTTAATTTTATTAAGACTTTGGCTATTGTGTCACAGCCAAAAGTTACAGGAACAATAGAGATGCTTAAAATGTTGATTGTAAATGTATAGCATATACTAAGTATTGTAAAGAAGTATAAAGTGGTCTTTGGTCAAGTCGAAAACAATGCCGGATAAGTCTAGCAAGAGTACAAAATACTGTGGTATAAAAATATTGCCATATAATAAAAATAACTAATATTTTTTCGTCAACGTCTTAGCCAGGGTAGGCGAACCTTTATGCATCAACGTGCCATTTTTTTTCCAAAAAATGTGTAATGGGGTCATTGACGTGCCATCAAAATTTTTGATTTTCTGATTATTACTAATAAATACTATCAAAACTCTCTATGAAATAAAGTAAACAAAAGAGGTACATTTTGTATTGTTTTCATTACACGCATAAATTAAATTACTGTAAAATTAGTGTGACTTCTGTTGCTGCAGGTTGGATGACAAATAATTTATGTCAGGCTTGTACGATGTTACTTTTAGCAAAATGCATGCTGAACTGGATTCATCTGTCGAACGGTTTCTAACCGAGTTTTTAATGTTATTCATCTCTGAAAATAATGACTCGCAGGCATAGGTAGGTGGAAATATTGTTGAAATAGCATGAGCCAGCTTCTTCAAACAGTTTTATGATCGCCGACGTGCCCAAAATATTGTGTCGCGTGCCATTAGTTCACCTACCCTAGTCTAAGTATTCGATGACTCAGCTGATGCTGTGTCAACCCATTTTGATAGATAATAATCTCAGGACAATTCACACAGCGCCATCTAGACCCAAGTTAAGCTAGCTAAAGCTTGTCTTATGGGTACTAGACAACTCATACAAATACAATATATTTTTTTGTAAATACATAGAAAACACCCAGACCGATACAAACAATCGTACACATGAATACAAATGTTTGTGCCGTGCGAGGAATCGAACCCGCGAACATCGGAAGTACACCGAGGCCGTCGAAGTATTTAATATTATATTCTGATCCGGTTTAAACGATTTCGACTATGTTAATGTTACATTTATTGTGAATATAGTTTTAAAATGAAGGGAATTAGTGCCTATATGTAATGTTGATATAATAAGAACAACGCAGGAATAATTCATTGTAACACTAGCTATTACTCGCGAGTTTGTACGCGTGGAATTAAAATACAAGTGGTCAAGCTACTCCTTATAATATTAGCTAACTGCGAGTTAAAGTACCGTCGAAATCGGTCTAGACGTTTCAGAGGTAATCAAGAACAAACGGACAGACAATTTTCTTTTAATTTGTTTATTATGTAACTACCATATATACTTTCAAATTAATTCAGTGGAAACCTGATTAAGTTAATATTGACAATTAGTTACAAATAGAATTATTATCGACTTTTTATTTGTTAATCAAAATGAAATTACATAAATTTGAACACTTAATCCCTTGTTACACTATGTCACACTTACACTCCTTGTCACACTATGTCATACTCTGTCGAAGTCCTCCCACGTCGTGTGGTCTTAAAAACAATGGACCGCTTATACCCATGTCACACTATGTCACACTTTGTCGAACATCGTGTGACGTAACTTATGAATAGCTCCAAATAATGTATATGTGTTTGCATTTATAATTGTATAGTTACCAATAAATTATTCCTGCGTGTAAGTAGTTACTTAAAACTGAAGTGCCGAAATAGTATTTTAAATAGATTTAATATTATATTAAATAAATGTAAATAAATAATTTAAGAAACTATGGATTTTTTAACTCAATAATTATATTTGTGTTAGGCATTTTCTGTTTTTTTTTATACAACAATTGATAATGAAATGGTGCACTCGCCTGCGCTAACGGTATACGCTGGCGGGGCACCAGTGCAGGATGATAATATACTCAGGACAATTTATACAGCGCCATCTAGACCCAAGTTAAGCTAACTAAAGCGTGTGTTATGGGTACTAAATAACTGATACAAATACACATTTTTTTTTTGTAAATACATACATATTATATATAGAAAACACTCAGACCGATACAAACAATCATACTCATGAATACAAAATGTTTGTGCCGTGCGAGGAATCGAACCCTCGACGTAAAGCGGTGTGCAAGACCGCTAGACCACCGAGGTCGTCAAGATGAACAATTCATCAAGATATTTTTCCAGGTTGCAAGTCGATCTGATGCTCAGATACTCTAGATATCAATTAATATTGTTGTGAATATTTACGTTTAACAAAATCCATAGTTTATTTATTTTTACGTAATTTTGTTGCCATATTTTTTGTATGTTAATATAGGATTGATTGTATGGCCGTTTGATGATATTTTTGTTTGCCCGTATAGATTATTGGCTTATATGATATTATATTGATTTATTGTGAATATGAATGAAATGAATATGAATATGTATTATCTCAATGTACTTCTAAAATTAAAGGAGTTACAGGTACCTAACTAATCAGTACATAGTATAAAACAAAGTCGCCGTCCCTGTCTGTCCCTATGTATGCTTAAATCTTTAACTTCGCAACGGATTTTGAAGCGATTTTTAATAGATAGAGTGATTCAAGAGGAAGGTTTATATATATAATACATGTACACCCGTGCGAAGCCGGGGCGAGTAGCTAGTTAACAATAAAAAAAATGCCGGTCCTTATTTCAGAAAAAAAATTTTCAATGCGGTCAAACCAATACTATGAAATAGAATATGAATAGGTTTATCTTATATATAAAACTAGTCTTATATATAAAATTCTCATGTCACAGTTTTCGTTCCCATACTCCTCCGAAACGGCTTGACCGATTCTCATGAAATTTTGTGAGCGTATTGAGTAGGTCTGAGAATCGGCCAACATCTATTTTTCTTCCCCCTAAATGTTAGGGGTAGTACACCCCTAATTTTTTTTTTTTATTTTAAAGCAAAACAACGTTTGCCGGGACAGCTAGTACGATATGTTCAACAATAAAACAAAAAATATTTGATTTCAATTGCACCCAAAACCAGTCAGTCAAGAAACAATACATTACTGGACAATAGTAAATAACAACATAAACATAAGAAAATTAATTTGCAGGAGTGACTAAAATATCCTACATGAATAAGTAAGTTTACTACAGATTTTGCCAAACTGAAGAGGAAACGCCACTACACATCCTATGTGGTTGTAGCCCACTCATGCCTAAAAAAATATCTCCTTTGGACAGTTTACACTATCCTGAGGAGATAAAAACCATCGCTCCTAAGAATATCCTTCAATTCCTGTCCCTCACAGGTCTAGGTAGCGAACTTTGAAAAAGCGAGCACAATAGATCAATTCAATACAAAAAGACTGATACAATTTCGTTGTTTTTGCAACATTCGCCGCTGCTTGTTGGTCGTAATGATTTATAGCCATGTAGCCTTGTTCCATAAATGAGTTAGCCAACAGTATTTTCAAAATTCACGATTATCTTGAACATCCAAACTCATGATACCTCTTTGCAAGGGTGTCTTTCACCTATTAAAGGCCCTGGGCACATTAGGACAATGGGGCCCCTATAATCATAGTAATAAAGCACTATTTTGTTATACTAGACAAAGTCATTTTTGAACATGACTCTTTAGAGATTATAGGGATGCCCTACCTTCAAAACAAACCAGGCAAAAATAATTTTAAACTCGTTATGTGATGACATAAAAAAATAGTCGGTAAGCATTTGTTAAGACTGATTTTCAGGCGAAAGTAGAGTAGCTATCAGATGGAGTAGGGACTAGACTAGGAGGCCCAATCCATCGCGGGGCCCGGGGCCCGGGCACAGTGTGCCCAGTGGGGAAGAGGGGCCTGACTCTTTGTAACATTAAAATATTTAATACTAGCTACATACCAAGGCATTACTTGCGTGGAACTTAAACTACTTTATTGGATAAACCAAAACCAAAAAAATCAAAATGGCATCGTCCGGTGAAGCTGTAAAGGCCAGCTGCGACCAATAGCATTAGAGTAGTCCGAAAAAAAATGTATTCGGAGAGTATATTTTTATTTAAAAAAAAATTATAAAAAGGTTAGACGTATATTGAGATGATAATGGTTTATAAGTAATCATAAATTTGTTACAAAATTCACTCGTTGTTAATACACGATACTGTATTTGTATATTGTTTGTGTAAACTTAGCTAGTTAAGTGTTAAGTATAAGAAGTTTTTATTATTCTTACTTAACGTAGGGTAACCATTCAGATTTTTGATGTTCAGTTCTGACTTAGATTTTTTTTATTTAAAAGCTATTAATTTGTTAAGTTAATTGAAATATATTATTCTTACTTAATGTAGGGTAACCATTCAGATTTTTGATGTTCAGTTCTGACTTAGTTTTTTTTTATTTAAAAGCTATTAATTTGTTTGTTAAGTTACTTGAAATATATTACTTACTAACTTATCCCGCGACTTCGTCCGCGTGGAATTTAACTTTATTTTTCTAAAATAAAAGTAGCCCGAGTTACTCCTTATTACATCTATATCGTATATAGATCACAGTTACCATCAGGTGGGACGTCAGTGCGTTTGCCATTTACTAATATCTCTCAAGATTTTTAAATCAGTCGTTTGTCAGTATTTATCCAACGCGTAAATGATAACAACTTAAGTGTTTTGTTAATTATGAACAAAAACTAGCTTTTGCACGCGGCTTCGCTCGTATGTCTGCATTAAAGTTTCCATACATGAATAAAATAATTATAGAGTTAGTGTTACTATAAAGTAACACTAAGTCTATAATTGCATCAAGGTGTTAAATCGGCCATATGCATCTATATTTGTGTATTGTGCATGAAAGTTTTAATAAATAAATAAATATATTGCATTTGGAAATGTAACATCAGGAATTTCGGACCCTTCCTACTCCGTCACACTGTGCCACACTTTATCGATAAGTCCATACGCATCTATATTCGTGCATGACAGTTTTACTAAATAAATCAGTATATTATATTTGAAACTTTAGGACCCTTCCTATTATGTCACACTATGTCACACTTTATCGATCATCCCCGTTAACGTGTGACGAGATTTATGAATGGCCCATTATTTCAATTAATAAGTGTTAGAGTTACATACTCAGATGCTAATTCTAATTACCATGACAGCTCCATAGTGAACATATATTACTTTTAAGTTTGTATATAAAGAAATACTTAGCATCCCTTTACGCTATGTTTTTACGCGCGTCATTAAACCTCAATTACTCTCTCATTGACTTCCAATAGATGGCACTAATTGTTAGACTAATAAAAATTTGGTGGATTGTGAAACTGAGATTGTGACAGTGTTTGAAAATAAATGTGTTTTAGTGGAAAAAGATCGACAAATAAACGTTAAATATAGTTTCTTTGTTTTAAAGATAATGTTTGTTGTATTACGATAACTCGTTTATAATTTGTAATTTGCATTAAAAATTGTAAAAGTTTTAATAAAATTACTCTGTTTTACAGAGCAACGCATAGTTTTATTTGTCGAGAGACCTAATAATAGACAATTGTCTTATATATTTTTTTTGTTTATAATTGAAACTACTCAGAAATGGCTATTAGTTTATTGTAAATATATTGTTTAGTGTTAATGCGTCGTTAAGCCCTCTATGAATTATGAGAAATATCGAGATAATAAAATATTTGTCTATATGTTTGTGTTTTAATTTGTTTTTGTAACCTGTTTAACAGATCTCTTATGCCCAATTTACACTCAGCCCGAGTGGGCAGGGAAGTGAGCAGCGCGAGAGTGTAAACACGAGTGGAAACACTTCCCATGCCATTGTCGCTGCCACTCGCGCTGCCCGGCGCTCCCTCGATTGTCGGTTTTTCGTGCGCGAGTCAAAGGACTGGCAGCGCGAGTGGCAGCGTGTTTTTACATTCAGTCCTCTCGCTCAGTTGTCGCCCGGCAATATTTCCGGCAGCGCGAGTGGCAGGGGAAGCGGCTGAATGTAAATGACGTTTACATTTAGCCGCTTACATATTGCACCATTTGACAATCTCCCAATGGTGAGTGGTAACCAGTGGCGTAGCTACCTAGGGGCCAGGAGGGGCATGCCCCGGGACCCTCAAGCTCAGGGGACCCTTACCAGAAAACCTCGAACGAAATGAAATTTTGAAAATTTCTCCCATTTTCAAAATAAATATGACAAGTTGCAACTCGACTTTACTCATGGCAACTCAGTTGAGAGAAATTCGAAAGTTATACTTTCGGAATTCTCCTGAATTATCTCTGTGCATTGGCAGTGTTGTCGATTTAACTGATAGCGATATGTGCGTTTTAATAAAATTAATGTAAAGCCCCATTGTTGTGCAGTGGGGCCCCATTTTTTTATTTACCCCAGGGCCCTTGGTTACCTAACTACGCCACTGGTGGTAACAGTCGTCTATATGAATAAACGTCTATAAATGATTAGCACTACGGAATTTACTCAGGGGTGGAATTTATCCTTTTTAGGGATCCTATAACTAGGTTTTTTTTTTTTATGGATGATAATGGTATGGTGCACCCGCCTGCGCTACTGGTTCACGCTGGCGGGGCACCAGTGGAGGATGATAAGATGAACATGAGGTCAGGTCAGTTAGCCCATCGGAATTTGTCAAAATCCTTTCTTATTGGGAATAAGCCTACGTCATAGTAGGTTTAAACATGCAGTCTCAGCCCGATCGATTTAAAATTGACAAAGTTTCATACAAACTTTCTTCCCCTATTTTATCCCCTTGGGGGTAGAATTAATCAAAATCCTTTCTTAGCGGATGCCTACATCATAACATCTACTTGCATGCCAAATTTCAGCCCGATCCGTCCAGTGGTTTGGACTGTGCTTTGATAGATCGCTATGTCAGTCAGTCACCTTTGAGTTATATATATTTAGATTTAATAACTACCTTGCAAATAAATTTTCACTGATTTTAAAATTCACACATTTTAATCTAAAAAGAATATGTGTGTGTGTGTGTGTGTGTGTGTGTGTGTGTGTGTGTGTGTGTGTGTGTGTGTGTGTGTGTGTGTGAAAATTACAATGATTATTTAAAAGAGCAACACGCAAGTTTCTTTCTCGTTCTTCTTGTGATAAGACAGCTTTCCGAATGAGCGGTAGATAAGACTTTTGACTATTCAAAAGTGCTTCAGTGATAATGTATTGGAATAAATAATCTTATATTATATTAATTTCAGTCTTGTTTTGTTGGAAAGATGGAATGGTGATTCTGAATAAAGGCATATTAAGGGGGGCTGCAGCAACGAGAGACTAATAATTTCTTCTTTCACTTATGTGTATTTTTCACTTCGAGAATCTAAAGCGAACTGGTCTGTGCACACATGGCGGTTCTTTTTAAAATCAGTTGGTATGTGGGATTGTTAAGGTCAAATCAGAACTTATATCTTGTACTCAATAACAAACATGATTATATCAAACTTGTAGAATATACAGTTTATGTCATAATTATAATTAGATTTAATCTTTACTATTGATATATTTACTTTACAGTTTATAAGCATAAATAATATTTATTAAATAAAAATATATTGTGGTTGTTCTATCACTCAAACCAGATGGCGTTGTAGTCACTGAAATCTGCTTTAGCGGGACAAGATGGCGAACTATTGCCGTTGGCAGGTAGCAATTTATTTATTTAAATAATTTATTTGCTTGAACATTTACAGTACATTCGTGTTAGGTACAAGTGTTCACTTCATTCAGGAGGTATGCAAATTATAATTCTTTGTCATTTATCATGACGACCGGATAGGTGGTCTAGCGGTCTAGCACACCGCTTTACGTCCGACGGTCGCGGATTCAATTCCTCGCACGGCACAAACATTTGTATTCATGAGTATGATTGTTTGTATCGTTCTGGGTGTTTTCTATGTATGTATATTATATCTATATTTAAAAAAAAAATGTATAAGTATATCTATCGGTAGGCTAGTTCTCATAACACAAGCTCTACTTAGCTTGGGACTAGATGGCGTTGTGTGATTTGTCTAGGGCTTTTTTTTAATCTAAATTTATTTTGGGGTTTTTGTTTTCAGAAATGTCAACACCATTATTACAAACTAATCGGAACAATTCTAAAAAATAATAAACAATCAAATAGTTATCAACTGCGAGGGATCTATTTATTAAATTGCTTTTATCAGTGCACACAAACAGAGCAATATCGGTAGTACCTACTACCAGCGCTAATAAAATCTTGTTTATAAAATAAAAATACAAGTGAATTTGTTTAAAACATTTAATTATAAATTAATATACAAAAGCATACAAAGATAATACAGTAACCTATGCTAGAAATGCACTGTTTGGTACGCCACATAAAAATTTTCGATTTATTGTATCAATACATAAATATCATTTTAATATACTTCGAATAATTCTATTCAATAATTGCGTTATTAATCTGCACTTTCGTTCGTCAAATATTGTTGACGAGGCAGTACAGAGTAGGTTTATAATTGATTCAGTAAAATTGATTGTCGCTCGTCCATACGAGACGCTTTAGTGACTGAATTTTGAGGTTATACAGCCTTGGACATATAATAAAAAGATGCAGAGTGGTTTCCGACGAAGAAATTGCTTATAATAATGATATCCAGAAACTAGAAGTGTACACGCCCCGCGTGATTACAGAAATTCCAGCTGTTGATTCGTTACAGCGTGTCTCAAGTCTAGTCGTGTAGCTCGTCCTGAGCGAGCTCCTCCATATCTTCCTGGTCAAATTCCGTATCGTCTTCGGCCGAAGCCTCCTGATACTGCTGGTATTCCGATACAAGATCGTTGACGTTGCTCTCCGCTTCGTTGAACTCCATCTCGTCCATACCCTCGCCGGTGTACCAATGCAAGAAAGCCTTGCGCCTGAACATAGCCGTGAACTGCTCCGAGATGCGCTTGAACAGCTCCTGGATGGCCGTCGTGTTCCCGATAAAGGTCGAAGACATCTTCACCCCTTTGGGCGGGATGTCGCAGACGGCAGTCTTCACATTGTTAGGGATCCATTCGACGAAGAAACTGCTGTTTTTGTTCTGGATTGATAACATCTGCTCGTCGACCTCTTTCATGGACATGCGGCCTCTGAAGATGGCGGCCACTGTGAGGTAGCGGCCGTGGCGCGGGTCGCACGCCGCCATCATGTTCTTGGCGTCGAACATCTGCTGGGTGAGTTCTGGCACGGTGAGGGCGCGGTACTGCTGGCTGCCGCGGGAGGTGAGGGGCGCGAAGCCGGGCATGAAGAAGTGGAGACGTGGGAAGGGTACCATGTTGACGGCCAGCTTGCGGAGATCCGCATTCAGCTGACCTGGGAACCTGAGGCAGGTGGTCACGCCAGACATTGTTAAAGACACCAGATGGTTGAGATCTCTATATGAGGGATTAGGAACTTTGAGGGTTCTGTAGCAGATGTCGTAGAGAGCTTCGTTATCTATACAATAGGTTTCATCTGTGTTTTCGACTAGCTGATGGATGGACAGTACTGCATTATAAGGTTCTACTACCGTATCTGACACTTTAGGGGAGGGTACAACTGAGTATGTGTTCATAATTCTGTCGGGGTATTCTTCTCTGATCTTGGAGATGAGGAGTGTGCCCATACCGGAGCCAGTGCCGCCGCCGAGCGAGTGTGTGAGCTGGAATCCCTGGAGGCAGTCGCAGTTCTCGCACTCCTTGCGTACCACATCTAGTACTGCGTCGACGAGCTCGGCGCCCTCGGTGTAGTGTCCTTTGGCCCAGTTGTTGCCGGCGCCGGATTGGCCGAACACGAAGTTGTCGGGCCGGAACAGCTGGCCGTACGCGCCGGACCGGACTGCGTCCATGGTGCCGGGCTCCAGGTCGAGGAGGATGGCGCGGGGGACGTACTTCCCGCCACTCTCCGCCGTCGCAACTGCAACAAACACATCTATTCAGCCCGGAGGAAACGGTTGCTTTATATATTCATCCCTATAAAAGATTTGAAACGAAAACCTTTTCATACTACATATGTACAAAAAACTATCAACTTTGCTGGCCTCGGTGGTCCAGCGGTTTAATACTTTGATTCAGTCGCAGGTTCGATTTTATTCATGAGTATGATTGTCAGTTGTGTTAAAAATTAAAAAAAAAATATCGTGCATATATTTTTTATGGTATAAAAATACACACCAACAATTTTTATCTTTTAAATATAGCTAAATATATTAAATAGGTGTATGTTTTAGGACATACTAGCTGTTCCCGCGACTTCGTCCTCGTGGAATTTAACTTTATTTTTCCTAAGTAGAAGTAACCTAAGTTACTACTAGAAGTAGCCTAAGTAGTAACTTAGGCTACTCCTATTTTAGACAAATAAGCTTTTTTTGCAGGTAACTGATGTAATAAGGAGTACCTTATTACATCAGTTACCTGCCAAAAAAATCCCGTCAAAATCGCTCCAGACATTTTAGAGACTTTTTATTACTTTTTGGCAGGTAGCTGATGTAATGAGTAACTTAAGCTACTTTTATTTTAGAAAAAAAAAGTTAAATTTCCACGTAGACGAAGTCGCGGGGACAGTACCATATAATAACCATTGAAAATTGTCTCCGAGATAAAAAAAAAACAAATTAAAGATGACTCATTTTTTTAACTTAGATTAACTGTGGCATGATCACACTGAGGTAGTGTTACATCTAGTTTTTGCCTGCATTACTCATTTTAAAGTAAAATTATTAAGTCGCGTGATTCTAAAGAGCCTGTATTGTGAATGACTATACATATATAACAGTACACAGACAGTTAGACGCGGTGGAGCATGGTCAGAAACCGCAGACCATTTGATAGCGCGTATCGATGGCCTAACACAGAGAAACCACTTCCCAATCTTTGTGTCATAGACCGCTTGCCACATTTTTCTATTTACCCTAAATTCCTACGAACCCCCATCCTTACCTGGTATTGATTTTTTGTAAATTTCTAACTGTAGTAAAGTTATGTGTTAAAAACAACAAGATGACCGCTGTCGTAGACCCCTGGGGGTCGATATAGACCACTTTGGGAATCACTGGTCTAACACAACATGGATATGCTGTTTGAACGTTTTTTTATCGGCAATCAAGCATACGGCCCATCTGATGGTAAATGAACGCCTGAAACACCAGGGGTGTCACGTGCGCGTTGCCTACCCTTAAGAAACCTTAATATACCCTTCTTGAAAAACCCCATGCTGTAGTCTCTTGAGAAAACCTCGGCAGGTAGTTTTGTGGATGATAATGAAATGCGCCTGCGCTAACGGTTTACTGGCGGAGCATCAGTGGGGGATGATAAGATAAGCATGAGGTCAGGTCAGTTAGCCCATCGTGGTAAATTCACCAGGAATTTATCATGATGGTTTCCAGAGGAACCTCGTGGCGGTTAACTTGACATGGTACATTGCTAGCAATCATAGGGGTTATCAATCCACATAACTAACATCACTTTCCTGACTAACTGATCACTGACTTACTAGACCTTGGATGACTACCACTCTTTGTCACAGAATGTCATAATGTTGTCACATTGTTGTCACACAATGTCACAATATTGTCATGCATTGTCACAACGTTGTCACGCATTGTCACAACATTATCACACAATGTCGCAATGTTATCACACAATGTCACAATGTTGTCACACAATGTCATAATGTCGTTACACCATATCACAATGTTGTCACACAATGTGATAATGTCGTTACATCATGTCACAATGTTGTCACAAAATGTCACAGTGTCGAGCCCCTCCCTATCGTGTGACGTAATTGACGAATGACCCCTATCTAACAAAGTAAAATCTTAAAACTTAGATACCGTTATGATTAACCTAATCAACGGGTCAACGTACAGACGGCCAATTGTCACCAGCTATTACAATAATTGTTATGACTTGTCTCGCCATAATAGGTGGATTAGGATTATCGACCATAGTTCTTAAGTACCTATCTTCTATGGCTTGGTAGTCGGCCAGTAGTCGAAATTTGACCATAAATTAATTTAAATTCGATCCATTCTTCCATAAATAATCTTATACTTTGTACGTTTTAATATATTTAAACAATAAATCCTTACTCCTTACTAATTTATAATTATAAATGCGAAAGTAACTGTCTGTCTCGCTGTCACGCCAACTACTAAATCGATTTAAATGAAATTTGGTACACAGATCTAGACCTTTTAGAAGAATTTCTCAGCTTGTTCTATACTACAACACGCATATATTAACATAATAAACCTTCCTCTTGAATCGCTCTATCTATTACTGAAAACTGGATTAAAATCTGTTGTGTAATTTAAAAGATATAAGCAAAGAAACAGTGTTAAAATTTTGGGACATCCTGTATATACTGACCAGAGGCCTCATTGTAATAAACGGAGATCCGTTCGAGCTGCAGGTCGCTAGTGCCGCGGTACACTCCCGCCGGGTCGATGCCGTGCTCCTCAGAAATTATCTCCCAGAACTGTAACCAACACGCACACTTTCCTGTATAAAGTTGTATTATGAACATTGGCAGTAATAGTTTATACTAAGGAATACTAGATGGCGCTGTGTCAATTTTAGAACGCGCTTTGTCCATAGCAGTATTCACGGTTTCAATAAATTAACAAATAAATAAATAACCCTGGACAATTAACACAGCGCCATCTCTAGTCCCATGGAAAGCAGAGCTTGTGTTATGGATACTAGGCAGCTGATTTTTAAATAAATATATAATACACTAGCTACTCGCCCCGGCTTCGCACGGGTGTACATGTATTATATATATAAACCGTTTTCTTGAATCATTCTATCTACTAAAAAAATCGCTTCTAAATCCGTTGCGTAGTTTTAAAGATTTAACCATACATAGGGACGGACAGACAGCGACAGCGACTTTGTTTTATAACATGTAATGACTTAGAAAGTGGTTTAACATACCCCTTTACGTCCGATGGTCGCGCGTTCAAATCCGCGCACGGTACAAACATTTGTATTCATGAGTATGATTGTTTGTATCGGTCTGGGTGTTTTCAAAAAAAGTATGTATTTATATCAGTAGTCATAAAACAAGTTCGGCTTAACTTGGGACTAGATGGCGCTGTGTGAATTGTCCTGAGATTATTATTATTATATGCATATTCCCTTCTCTCTTTCCATTAATATTAGTAAAGCATAATCAAGAACATTGATACAACAATGAGTGCATTGTATGCACTTATTTTTTATTTGCATAACAAAATGGCGGACGATCCGACCCCACGGACTTGAGTCGCTTTGTTGTATCGAGACATGTCTCGACATGTTGGACAAAAATGAGATAATTTATACCAGAGCTGTTCAAACCACGGCCCGCGGGCGACATGTATTGCAAAATTATATTTTTTTCTGGACTACTGTAATGCTGGCCGCAGCTGGCCTTTACAGCTTCACCGGACGATAGCGGGCGAGTGCAGATGACACTCCAAACCAAAGGAAGGACTTATGAAGCTGAAGGACAACTCCCGCCTGACGGATACGATTTTAGTCTGAGGGCACCGCTAGAGGTTCGAACTTCGGCTCAGGATGTCGTAATTTCGATCCCCGTTGGACGGGGGATCGATTGGAGGGGATATTTTCGTAATTTAAAATGATTTGATGAACAATTCATTTCCTCATCTGCCCTTATAAATGCACTGCGTCTGGTTACTACCAATTGACGTTGATGCTGACAAAATTGTAAAACATAAGTTGATCTTATTAATATTATAAATGCGAAAGTTTGTGAGTACCTATGGACGTTTGTTACTCTTTCACGCAGAAATTTTTGAACAGATTTTGTTGAAACTTTACAGTGATATAGCCTATACATCAGAATAACGCATAGGCAATCAATTTCACGCGATTGAAAACGTGAGCACAGCTAGTAGATTAATAAAATAATGATATTGTACCTGCATTTTGTTTTTACAAATATCTTGCTGGCCCTCAACAGATTTAGTAATTTTTATTGACTTTGTAGCGCGGTGGTTATCACCTCAACACTGTAGGGTTATATATGATGTGATGATGTTAAGGAACTCTTTTTTTTTTTATTCATTATTGCACTTTAAAAGAGTGTACAAGAGGCGAGCTTAATGCTATATGGCATTCTCTACCAGATAACCTTTGGGTAGAACTAGAAAGCGTTGTAGGACAGTAATGGCAAAAATTTGTGATATTAATACTGTAATAAATAATTAGGCAAACAAAATCTATGTACATATATAATTTATGTTATATAAATATAATATATACTTTAAATATACATATATATAAATTATATATATAAATATTCTTTTGATATATTTAAAGTTTTCTAATATTCTATAATCAAAACTATAAAAACAAAATTACATTATGTCACTTGACTGTCTACCATCTTACCATTAAATACATTTTTCCAGTCATAAATAGTTTTACTACATATTTCTACAACAGATGAGGTGTCGCTACATAATATATAATTGTACTATTTATTGTACATTAGTAAGTTTATTATATAGTGTGCTATATGTCTTATTAATAACGCGTTCATTAGACGCGGAGTCGGGACGTCGACTCATTTTACATTTAACTGAAATCTATGTTAGTGGACACGTAAACCAATGGAAGGTAAATCACGGGATCTTACCACGTTTACAGTTTACTTACTTCACGAACTGTTTACAGTATACAGATCATGGCCGAAATATCGGGAACTCAACAAAAATAAAACGTGGTAACACTTACTAACAAGGCCTGTACTATTCAAGACTTTATACAAACTTATTTCCAACACTGTGAAGAAATTAAGTTTTTATAATTTATGTTGGGCTAAAAAGGACTTGTATCCAGAGCCGTAAAATATTAATAAATAAAAAAAAATACTTATAAATAATGACCGCGTCAAAATTAAAACTAATGGAAGGGTACTAAGTGTTGACAGAAATATAACAAGTGCACGCACAGGTCCTAGATTCTACCTAAGTTCGACAGACCTGCTTTATATAATAAGGTTTTAGTTTTGTTATCTATAAAAAGGTCGCGAACTTTCTAGCAAATTTAATCACTAGTTGATAACCGCGACTCTGTATGCATATCAAATGATTTCTTCTACGGGATTTTCATTAGAATAGAACAGAAACTTATTTCTTCAAATATACTTTTAGGCACCTTTGAATAGTCATTATTTTTTTATAATGGATGTGAATATACAGTTACCAACCGTCCTGTTTTTCCAGGACATGTCCTAGTTTTTGAAGTGTCCCGGGAAGTCCTGAATAGATATTTGTCATCGTCCTGGATTTTTAAAATACGCGCGCCTCTTAATTACTGATTTTCAACAGTATAATTTTATCAAATACTTTTTATTAAGAACCTGATTATATTAATTACTTGAATTTTACTACACATTATACATAACTATTGCAACGCGTTTTGTTTGTAAACTGGACAGTCCTGGTTTTAAGTAAAAATTTAAATATTGTAATGGGTGAAAACTGTGATTGGTACAGTATATGCTGTAAATAATATAAATGACGTAGTGGAGTAACTTGAAACAGTCATGCTCGCTATAAAGTTCAAACTTGTGGCGGCGTGGTGGGCCGGGTCGATGTGCTCCCTCTAATATGGTTGAGTGCAATGATGGCTGGCTCATCCGTCATACTCGTGAACGGGCGCTGCTTGTGGGGACTAGTCTGTTCAGGTTGCGACTGTCATTGATTAGAATTTTTGTTTTTTTTTCTTAGCATATGCACTCTATTCTCCCAAATTTGCATTTTAAATGAAATTGTATTATTGTAAACATGTACAACATTTAAAAACGAAATACGAGCTGAGTTTCTTGCCAGTTCTTCTCATCTCGATATCATTCCGAACTGACGGTAGATTTGACATATCATAAGAGTCTGTAATAGACCTACATGAATAAAGATATTTTGAATTTGAATTTGAATATGAACTTTCAATCCTGCCTTTTTATTTTTGGGCTTGACAACTCTATGTTAATGGAATGGTGCACCCGCCTGCGTTAACGGTTTACGCTGGCGGGGCACCAGTGGAGGATGATAATAAGAATATGGCTCCCAACAAGTTGGGGATGTGAGATTTAGAACAGCTCCTATGCCCTCACAACTCCTCCCCTATGTAGAAACAGACTCCCCATATAGTATGAGCATGAGGTCAAGTCAGTTAGCACATCGTGGTGAATTCAGAAGCAAGCGAGTGCAACATAATATTATCTACTATATATTCTACTAGCTACTCGCCCCGGCTTCGCACGGATGTACATGTATTATATATAAAAACCTTCCGCGGTTTTTTTAATAAATAGAGTGATTGTAGAATCACTCTATCTATTAAAAAAACCGCGTCAAAATCCGTTGCGTAGTTTTAAAGATTTAAGCATACATAGTGACAGCGACTTTGTTGTATGTAATGATTTATTAGGTATGACAATAACCGACTTAACAATATAGGTACTATATGTGTCTTTTTAACAATCATACATTTAAGGAAAAATGCAAAATATTATTTCTATTATTATATACATTAATACAATATATAAAATATATTATTTTCCTCAATAATTATAATAATATTCTCAGGACAATATGGAAAATATTTTATATTTTATTTATTTAAACTTTAATGTACAAATATAATATATAAATGTACATATGGCGAAGTTAACACCTAAGGGTGATCTCTAACAGTCAACCATAAGGCAAACTGAGAAGTTAGTAAGCGGCGCATTATAGTACTAACACTTACGTAGTAACTTTACAATAATACATATTATTAGACATACATACTTACATACGACACATAAATAAATATATATATATTATATATCTAATATAGATATACTTTATTATGTAGCTTAACATAACATAGGCTATAGTTTAAGAAGATATTGGATAACTTGGTTGAAATATAATTATTAATATCGATATAATGATTAAGAATAGAATAGAATAGAATATATCTTTATTGCTATTGAATGTCAGGTAAAAGATGCAGACAAAGGTTCACGGGTCAGCTAGTAGTTTATTTACTAACATAATATGGACAACATATCTGAACTAAATGAATAATTACAATAAAGAAATTATCACCAGACCACATACCGACAGAATCCATAAAAAAATTACCCCAAATTACATACAGACAACCATTAATCCAATAACCTAGAAAAAATTAAACGGGACACATGAAAAATATATTAATTGACCATAGACAAATTACTTTTTTTTCCTGTAAACGCAGGACATTGTACTGGCGGCATCCAATCGATGGGACAGTGGACGGACGTAATCGATTTGACCCATCGCTAGGGTTGTAACTTTTATATGTATAACTATCTGTCCCGGCAAACGTTGTTTTGCCATATAAATTAATAACGCAATAAAAAAATAGGGGTTGGTGATAGAAGGGTGAAAATTAGGGTTGTATGTATTTTTTAATGAAACATAATAAAAAAAT